AACAACATAATAAATGAACTTACTACACATGGAGTGGATTTTCCGTGAGGATACATCTTTGAATGCTTTGCCGCCATCAAATGCGAGCGCAGCTAATCACGAAGAACAATCCTCATTTATCACTTCGTCTTTGGATCTTCAAGGAGAGGGACATTTCTCATGCTCAAGGTGGATTAGATAGATAAGCACATCGTGCTTGGAATGCAACCCGAAAGAAATTATTTCTCGAAGAATTTGAAGTGGGTAGGCGACGAAATCACGAAGCGACGGCAACTTTGGTTGGCAAAATTGATTCGGCGGTAAGGCAAATGGTACGTGATTGCGTTATGCACGGTAAGTTTCGTGGGATCTTGTCCGAAAATCAACTTGTCCTTGGCTTTGCCAGGGCGAAATTGGGATCATGGATCTTATCGCTTGAACGAGTCTCGTTTGGTGATTAGGACTATTCCCAAGTACCAAATGAATTTTACTTTCGGGGGGATCCCCCGGCCAGATTCATCTGGGGTCGGAACGATTTTTTGCTAGATTACGAAGCGCACGACATCACATCTCGATTCCACATCGCGTAAGTCTTTCGCGTCGAGATAATGGGAATGTTATTTCTTACGATTCTGCTACTTTAATTGTAGATAAGGGCTTAAAAGCACTTGTTTCTAGGATGTTTCTGGCGAATTGTGCTTTTGGGTTTTCATTTAATCATGTGATTTTGTTGGTTCAATTAGGTAGGGAGGCAATTGCAAGTTCTTACGGTTCAACCATTTATGGTTCAATTGATGTTTCTCTGCCAACTCCACCACCAAAATCGTTTTCGAGAACATCTGCAGTTTGGAATGTTGCCTACCCGATTCATCCCAGAGTACATGAATCGTCTCCGAACCTCGGAACGTCTCGACGAGGTTAGAGCGTAGCGTGGTATGCAAAGTGGAAAAACAAAAGAAGACAGAAAAAAAAAAAAAACCCCTTGTATAGCCCGAAGCAATCTTTTCGAATACGGTACGACGATTATCTTAAGTATAAACGATTTAGAGTGGTTCGCATGATTCGGTGTTTTATCAGTCCTCTTTGTCTAGCAAGCGTTGTATAATCATGGTCTATGTGTCACGGACCGAATTTTTCCGTACTCTAGTATCCTTGTGAGTGAAGCTTGGTGTCATCAGGATCAAGAAGTGAGTGATATAGAAGTAATGGGTTCGTAAAAGTGGCATCGAGATATTTGTATAGAACGGCTACAACTCTGGGGAGCTCTGAAGGCGGGATTGGCTTTCCGTGCACAATCTAGTAGGGATATAAAAGGAAAGCTGACTTGGTGCTCTCGGCTAACCAAACGCCGCATAGGCTATTCCGCAGTCAATGGTCCGTCGGCCGTGACATAAGTTGTTGCAGAAAATGGCGTGGATAATGTTGCCTTTCCTTTAAGCCACACATACACGTTCTTCTGCTGTCAGGCTTACGAACCTCGGACCGTCTTGGGACGAAATGGGCCTGGATAGCCCTTTCCTCTTCCTCCATCTCCTTCTCCAAATCTCTCCCTTTGATAAAAGAGAAGAAGGCTGCGCATGACAACTCGCCAAACAAGGTGTTTGATTACGTTTCTTTTGCTTAGAATCGTTTGGGAACGAAAATGCGTTTGTTTAATTTTTTGATTCCGGGCACAATTTTGTCAAAAATTGTTTCAGAAATCGATTTTGAAGCGAGAATCGAGAATAAAAAAGTAGAGCTTTCTTGATTGGAACAATTTTGAGAATCAATTTTTTTCTTCTTCCTTTTCTTGGTTTTTAATTTAGCTTCTAATGTCCGGACCGAGGACCGCCTCGTCGGATCTCGACGAGAATAAAATATTATTAATAAAAAATATTATTAATAAAAATATATTTTACGGCCATGGCGGCGACGGCCATGGCCATAAAAAGAAAAAAATATATTTTTAATAAAAATATTTTAATAAAAAATATTATTAATAAAAAAATATTTTACCGCCATAGCCTATGACCAGGCTATGGCAAAAAAAAAAAATATATATTTTTAATAAAAAATATTATTAATAAAAAAATATTTTACCGGCCATGGCCAAAAAAAATAAAAATGTATATTTTTAATAAAAAAAAATTAATAAAAAAATTTATTAATAAAAAAATATTTTACAGGCCATGGCCGATCGGCCATGGCAAAAAAAAAGAAAAATATATATTTTTAATAAAAATATTTTAATAAAAAATATTTTAGTACCATGCGACAGGCCATGGCAAAAAAAAAATATATATTTTTAATAAAAATATTTTAATAAAAAAATTATTTTACCGCCATGGCCCAAAAAATAAAAATGTATATTTTTAATAAAAAATTATTAATAAAAAAAATATTTTAGGCCATGGCCAAAAAATAAAAATATATATTTTTAATAAAAATATTTTACCGAACATGGCGCGACTCAGGCCATGGCCAAAAAAAGAAAAATACTTTTTAATAAAAATATTATTAATAAAAAAATATTTTATCGATCATGGCCGAGCAGGCTATGACCAAGAAGGAGGAAAAGAAAAAAGAAAAGAAAAAAAGAAAGAAATATTAAAATATTTAAAAAATTACCTTTCCTTTAAGCCACACACACACGTTCTTCTGCTATCAGGCTTACGAACCTCGGACCGTCTTGGGACGAAATGGGCCTGGATAGCCCTTTCCTCTTCCTCCATCTCCTTCTCCAAATCTCTCCCTCTGATAAAAGAGAAGAACTATGCCATGGATTTTTCTTACACTAGGCAAGCGAAGGCGCCAAAGGACGTCTTCTTCACACCTCGACGCCATGGAAAAGCATACACAACCGTCTTTATTTCATCCAAAAGGGAGCATACAATATCATCTTAACCATGGCCAAATATGTGTGAGTTATTAAAAACCTTTGTGCCGCAAATTTCGCTAGTGCCGTGGCTTTTGGGATTTCCATTTCTCGCATGTTATGTTGTATAAGCATGGGCCGCTAGGTAATCTATACCACAAACATTCGACACATCAATCGACATTTCTATCCCGAGTTGAACTAGACCGGTTTACAATTAACTCGACCGCCTCACCTCTCTTCGTGCGGTGCTCCTTTTCTCTTCTGCTCCGCCTTTGGCCTATGCACATTCTCACTTTCACCTCTGCCATTCTCTTTGTAAATTATCGCTCACGGAAGAAAATAAGTGGAGGCCTTTGCTGATGGCCATGTTCTTGAATGTTTTCATCCAAGAAATGTTGTTTCGGAATCACATACGATGCCCCACGTCCCACGTTACATTAGAGAAGACTCATGAAGCGATCCCCGAGTAAGACTCACTCTCAATTAGCCATCCTACCCCCTCACACCTTAGAAGCATTCATGGCGGATAATATTGTATAGACATTGTTATTGCTGAAAATGGTGTAGATAGTGTTTGCTTGGATTAAAAAGACATGCGCATGACCAATTTCAGACTAGGAATTTTGAGCTGGTTAGACATTTTCTAGGGATTAAGGTCGAACGTTCTCTCATTAGGGTATATGTTTTCGTCAGAGGAAATATATAACCATATTGGTAACAAGAGATGGATATTCTCGGGTCGCAACCGATGGGTAGTCCTGCGGATCCAGATGTGAAGTTAGCCCCAAATCAAGCAGATGTCATTTTAAGATGTTGTGGGTCATCATCCAATAGTTGCTAAAGTGAATTATCTTACTCGTACTCGCCCTAATACGGCATTTCCAATAAGTGCAGTCAGCCAGTTCATAGATTCGCCGATGCATCGAGACGCAACGATTCACATACTAAGATATATGAAAGGTGCTCGAGAAGAAAAGGTGGTTGTATCAATATCATGAACATAATTCTATTGTGGATATGAAGATAATGGACATATCAGAAATTAGAATGGAGTCAATTCTGCAAGAAAGCTCAAGTTTGCCGTGACTCCACGGCCCTTAGATGGCGATAAGCATGTGGACTACGCAGTTCCGCCATTCATTTTTTGAGTAATTGCCGATGACTTTTGTCCAATGCAGCCACTGGAATGCCACCTAATTGATCTAAATCAGGACATGACAAGCGCAATAATAATTTTCGTACTAAGTGTTACAACTTTTTTTTCGATCATTAAAATATTATTATTTATAAAAAAATGCTCATTTGAACGTCATAATTTTTAATTGATCACTTGAGTGTCGTAACCTTTTCAAGTGCCGAAAATTCGACGTGACATGGCACTTGTGGTAAACGTTTTATAATGATACTTGAGTAATCGATTGAAAAGTTATATGACACTCAAGTGATCGGAAAATTAGTCATGACCCTCAACCGGGCATCATACGAAAATTGACACTTTTGATATTTTTTTTTCATGTTTTGAGAGCAACTTTGGTTCGATTCTTTCCGCCATTTGGATAATTACTTGGATTCCTCGACTCATTGAAGGATTTTGTGAGCCTCGTTTGAGAGGTACAATATATTCATAAGCAAAAGAGGGGTCATCAAACCGCTTTCTAGCCAACCTGATTCGATCTGACAAAAGAAAAACATGATTCGAAATCCTCGGTGGGGTTATTCGTCGCGAAAAACGGTCCAGAGATGAACAATAGAGACTTTGTAAAAGTTTCGAGGTTGTTTTGAACTATAAGAGCATTTTAAAATTCGAATGACAAGCACAAGAAACCACTTCATTATTTCTCCATCTTTCTTGCACCAATGCTTAGATACTAGTTGGCCTAAATTTTAAGGGTTAATATCACGAAAAATCCAAAACCGATATATCTATGATAAATTTACGTCAAAATTGATACATCCGTGATAAATTTACCCTCCGTTAGCTTTTAGTTTGGGGCTTTGAAATTGAAAAGAGGTTCTCGAAACTAGAAACCAAACCGGTTCTCACCATAACCGGCCTCAAACTGGTCGGTCTAAGCCAGTTCGGTCCAATTCCCGAGTCAGGCCGGACCCGGTACTCACCCCCGGCGGACAATTAGAGCTATAAAACGGAAAAGGGCCCGCGAAATCCAAAACTTATAATCTCCTCCTCCATTTAAATAACTATAACAACATTATATATCGACATGGATGGGTGTTTTAATAAGCTCTTTGTCCGTTCGGACCATTTAGCGCACCCATTTCCATTTTCCAAACATCAGTCACGTACATAAGAAATTAAAAATCGAAACCCAGAAATCGGGAAAAAAACAAAAAAGAAAATTCCACGAAAAATTATATAAGAAACGTGAAAAAAAAAATTCGAAAAATGAAAAATACCATGGCTGTCGCCGCCAGTCATCGCCGCCGCCGTCGCCGGTCATCATACGGTCAACTGGATGTCGCCCAAGTCGAGCTGAGCGGCGATGTCCTCGAGCTGCTTCTTCACGCTCATGTCGATCAGCTTCGACCCGGCGTTGCCGTACCGGATGGTGAAGCCGGCGACGAGGGTCGGGTCGATGGCCGTCTTGATCCGCACGTTCTTGGCCCCCGTCAGCTTCTGCACCTGCTTCGCGATCTGGGCCAGGTGCTGCGGCTCCAGCTTCACCACCGAGCTCACCGTCGCCAGCTCCGTGTCCGTCAGCCGGTTGTACACCATCTCGAACTCCTTCACGATGTCCTTGATCAGGTCGGTCCGCTTCGCCTCGATCAGGATGTTCAGGAAGTTGGCCGTGTGCGGCTGCAGCGCCGACGAGGCCGAGATCTCGTCCACCAACCCGCGCTTCTTCTCCAGGTCCACCGTCGGGTTCGAGAAGAACTTGAACACCCCCTCGTCGGAGAACATCTTGTCGATCTTCTCCACGTCGGCGCTCGTGGCGTCCAGGGTGCCGTTCGACTTGGCCACGTCGGCGAGGGCCGCCGCGTAGCTCCCGGCCGCCGTGGCGGACATCCGGGCGCCGGCGGCGGGGTTGCGGAGGCGGGTGTGGGCGGAGGCGAGCCTGAGGGAGGGGAAGGTGGCGGAGAAGGAGAGGGTGGAGGGTTTATGGAGGAATTGGGCTTTTGGGGAGGGGATTTTGGGCTGGAGAGAGATGGGTATCTGTTGCAGGGCCGCCATTATCGTCTGCTGCTCTGGAGAGAGCGAAAGAGAGAGCGATTTGGGCGGAAGGAGGAGATGGAGATGGAGATGGAGACGACGAGGAAGGTGGGAGTGGATTGGATTCGGGCTTTGAGGGAGAGAACGAGCGAATCGAATTCATCTTATCTTCTTCTTCTTCTGTGGTATCTGGTGGAGGAGCAAGAGGGAGAGCCAATTTTGTCTACGTGGGATAAGGAGTTGCCACGTGGATTTTCCATTTTCTTTTTTCATATATGTATATGTGTGTAGTATGTATGTATGTATGTCTATCATTTTTCCTTTGTGTAGTTGTCATTCGTTTGTTTATCCCGCGTTCCGAATTGGCTTTGGCAAAAGTCTGAGAGAAAATATTCGGTGATTTGCAGGCGTCAACTGCTGATATGGCGTGCGCTTATTTCAGCGCAAGTGTCTGTTCTCCCTCTGGCTCCTCTTAAGTCCTCAAGGAAATGGAGAGCGTGAATGAAAGGGGGGACGGGCCTAAAAATGCGGTCTTGTTTGAGCAACCCTGGCACTCATGGTTCAAACCTCGGTGACGATCCTCATGGCTAAAACGCCGCCGAGGATTCGGGTCGGGGAGAGTAACTCGAGAGGAGAGAAAGGGAGCTCGATCAGTTAACCATCAACGAGGAAGTAACATGTCTTTTGACACGCGATGATGGATTCTCGGAACATTCAGGCGCATTGAAGCGACCAGTCAAATTTTCAGGCGCATTTTGTACCTAGTACCTTTTCCTAGAGACTAACAGTCCTCGGGGATTTATGGTTGCACTTAATAGTCAATGCCAAGAACTGTCAATCAACCACAGACATCCTCAAGTAAAGTTACCAGTCCAATACCATCTGAATCGGAGGAGAAAATTCGGACAGAGTAGGCAAATTCTTGACTAAAGAAGCTTGGAGAATTTGAGTCCCCAGTAACACAGCTATACAGTCCGACAGATGTCCCGACCCCATTTTGAATCCGAAAAAAGCACACTTGCGCGTGCACACATACGCATAGAATTCACAAAGAACTGCTCTGAAGCAGCCAGGGGAACTTTTAGGGATGATTGACACTGCTAGTCTATAAGATTTTGTTCAATGTGTATTTGTCATCTTGAACTTTCAATTGGTCAATTAGAGCAAGTTCATGAATACATACAGTACAAAAGGCAAATCCTTAGGCGTCATTAGCTTGAAAACTGCCATACTCGCGGGACGAGTAGTCCATCGCCCAATGACAATTACTCGCCTGCAACTACTCCAAGATATATACAGAAGCAATTTTCGGAAAATATGAATACTATTAATCACAATTAAACCTATCCAGACAGAAAAGCCTAGATATGTAGATAAAGTTGGGCATTTACTTCTGTCACAACGTTACAACTAGCAATTCTGAAGACCCTTCCCACAGAAAACTCACAGTTATCCATAGCTAATCTACGTGGAAAACTAGTATAACACAGTTCCAAGATAAAGAGCACCTGCTATCCTGACTTTGACGCGAAGTGGCTAGCGTTCCATCCTAGTCACGACCTCATCGAAGTTCCAGTCCCTCACAATATCCCTTCTAACGGCATGACTCCGTACAAGCCGTGGTGTACCAGTAATTCCAGCAGGCATATTTGGCTGCGGTGTCACTTTAGATGTCGATATGGCAGATCTTGTTGGAGGCAAAGGAAGAGATGGCTTCATGGCCAAGCAGTTGGCGATCGCGGAGCACCTTCCGTCATTTTCTGAACTAGAAACAGAATAACTCCTAAAAGAATGTGATGGACTTTCAGCACCGTGGCACACAAGGCATGCCAGACTCATACTTGGAAGTTGCAGCCGTACCAAAAACCTGGAAAAATAACTGCTGAAGTTGTAAGAAGTCAAGATACGAGAATATACCAATAAAAGATCCGTGCATATATAGCAGAAAAACAAATCACTCTTTTGCACACAGAAACACACAGAGAGAGGGAAAGAGAGAGAGAGAGCACAGAAAATGAAAGACTAACAAGCAGATTGAAGGATACGAGATGTTAAAAAGTTGAGACATTATGATTAGAAGCAAGAAGAGGACAGAAAATAATGAAAGACTAACAAGCAGATGTTCGTGAAATATGAAATGTCAAAAGGTTAAGGCATTATGCTTAGAAGCAAAAGCTTCTCTTCATATCCTACAAACGATATTTGGAGTTCCATCTTATCATGTCTTGTGTGAAAAGGTTGAATTCCTGCATACTTGCGATGCCTATTAAAGTAGTCACATTGAGCATTGTTAATACTGTTCCCTCTACCTCATTTGGACATCTATGAATGTCTTCATTGATTTCATTCAAAAGATTTAATGACTGACCCCCTTGGTCGCTGAAGTATTATTTGGTCTGAGTAAAAGTTGAAGATCCAAGAACTGCAACATGTTGCATTTAAGAAGAACTAATATAATCTAGGCTAGTCTGCATCATGCATCATTTAAGATAAAAATTCCAATTGCTTGAAAAATTAACTCAACTAAATAGACTTCCTCAAGTAATGCCATGTTGATGATGATATTATCAACGTGCAAAATACAAGATGAGAATCTGGACCGGAGGCAGACCAACATCGCAAATTATGCACACGTGAGGAAACTAATTTTGAGATCATACAGTCCAACGACATTACTGTGAGGCAGAGAAAAATCCTTACACATTACAAAGCTTTCGGGGTGAGCCTAAAGATTTTTAACTTTTATTCCTCAAAATCACCTTACTCCATCTCAGATACCTTCAAGCAACCTTATCCAAACACTTTGATGAACCCTCAGACTTGATCCATCAAATATTTACCCCCTACTGTCCAATGGTACTGTTCACAGAAACAGTACCTCCAGATCTTACTTCTATCCAATAGAATGTCCTACCTCGGAATGCACATTACATGTAACAACCCCACCCAAACAGCGAACCCAGACCCTGAGGATCAGACAACTCAAGCATCAAACAGAGAAGGATGACAAGAAGAACTGAAATGGACAAGGCAAACGGCCCTATGGTTTCAATTAGTTGACAGAACTGGAAACCTTGATTATCTCGAAGAGGAAATCTACAATAAAACATCTTACCTCAATAGGCTAGATAAGTAGTACTTCAATAACGTAATGCTCATTGAACTCCACCAAGTATTGCATACCAAGAAACGGTGAATTAATAAGAACCTACTATATGAAGAGCTTATTGCCAATACAAACAAAATCTATAGAGGTTACACAACTAACGTCAAATAATCTAAACAGCACCAGCATCCTGTGTTTTTATCTTTTCCCTGTTGCTTGACAGAAGTAATCTATCGCAAACACAACCTGGTAAAGTTTCAACATTTGAGTTATCAAAAAGAAAGCCCAGTGGGCTGCTGGTTGTCCATGTCCCTTCAACTTCTTCTAAGCTTTTGCTTTTGTTGGTTGGCAGATTGTTGATCGGAACTAACACTGAAAAGTTGGAACCCTCTAAAAGTCGGCACAGTTTACTCCAACAGTATTAGGCGTATCAAATTTTGGTGATATCATCTGCTTACACATGAGGACATTATTAGGATAAAAGCCAATACAAACACCCTAACATTAGGCACAAACCTCAGTTCCATAAAGCCAAAAGAAAGCCAGCCAAGCAAAAGCTACAAACACTATCCCTTTCCCAATAGGCATAAGCAAACATATCCGTTGATTTATGGCTTGAGGTTCAGACTAGTGCTTTCCAAATCATGGATATCCAAAACAATTTATGTTATGCACCGGAAATTCACCCAATCTGAAACGAGTCTTGGGAGAAGTCACCACTAAAAACTGGTCATGAGGATGAGAGAGCGCAAGATCTTATCAATGCACTCAAACGTTCCACCCTAATCTAGTCGTCTTCCCTCTTTCAAAGTCTACCAGTAATTCTAATGTAGCCTCCAGGTAGCCCTTCCCTAAGATAGATGCAGTTCAAGGACACTGCCCAGCCACAAGGCCTCCCATGAAATTTATCAGTATCTTACTCTTACATTGCAATCTCAAAATTACAGGTAATGGGTTCATCCTCCGAAGTATGCCGGCATTGTAATCTAATCCTCTATTTAGCCTTCAAGAGCCAGTTGGGAGCACAAATGGCCTCTCATACCATTCAGTATTTTGCTCAAATCTTTACCAACTTCACGGACTGAGATAATCAGACAGTAGCAAAATTAAGGAAAAACCATTGGGTTGGGATGGTATGCTAGCGTCCACAACCCTCCGGTACGAATTAAGAACAAGTCTTGCGAACAACCCGTAATGCCCCATGATGCTTGTAATCAGCATCCCCGACAACACGGGAAAAAAACACAGCATCGACCTCGCACAAAACCTTGGAATTCAAACACTTACCATAAAAAAGAAAAACCGAAACCTTCGACGGTAACCCAACACAGACATGGAAACGATGGCATTGCGCGGTCTCTCGAACAAGAACCGAAAACCCAAGAAACCATGGTGAGATTCCAATCCCAATTTCGGAAAAGATCGAACACCCAACACGGCATCGACCCTGGGACAACACCTCGGAACCCAAACACTTACCATAAAAAAAAAAAAAGACAAGAAAGAAGAAAGAAGAAAGAAACCGAAACCATCGACGGTAACCCAATACAGACGTGGAAACGACGGCATTGCGCGGTCTCTCGAACAAGAACCGAAAACCCAAGAAACCATGCTGAGATTCCAATCCCAATTTCGGAAAAGATCGAACACCCAACACGGCATCGACCCTGGGACAACACCTCGGAACCCAAACACTTACCATAAAAAAAAAAAAAAAAGAAGAAGAAAGAAGAAAGAAACCGAAACCATCGACGGTGACCCAATACAGACGTAGGAAACGACAGCATTGCGCGGTCCCTCGAACAAGAACCGAAAACGCCCCCGAGAAACCGAGCTGAAAAATTCCCAATCCCAAATTCGGAAAAAGATCGAACGCCCAACATCGGGGATTCACCAAGGGAGGGAAACGAAGAACCGGAGACTGAGATCTGGGGACTTACGCTGGCGATCCCCTCAATTCGAACGGGGGCGGCTTGCTGGGATTCGATTCAACGCGTCGTGGAAAGAAGAGGATCTTTGCGGGAGGAAGGAAGCGAGCTCCTGTGAAACTTGCGGAACTCCAGTAGTGATCAAAGTGAGTTGCAGCAGCAACAAGTGGGAGGATATTTCAATTTCGGTTTTTTCCTTATATTAAATTGAAAATAAACAAAAATAATAATAATAACGATTGAAAAGGGTGGAAGAGGAAGCGATAGCGCGAGAGTCTAGAGAGAGAGAGATGATTCTCTGGGCGCGGGAACAGGGGAAGGAGAAAGAGTTCCACCGTACGATGGTGGTGGGGCGGAGGGTTGATTGATCGTGCTGCTGGCCAATCGTATCTTCCCGCTTCGAATGGCCGCTCCTCAATAACGAAAATGATAATAATGACTGGCTTTCGTGCACACGGTGATTATTTTGGATTCCTTCATGCAATGTCGTGACGAATTTACTTTGATTTTGTTCTTTTTAGCACCATGTGAAAGGATTTATTCGAGAAAGCGAGCACCCAGTAAATGTCTCGCTATTTCTTCGGTAATTGAAGAAATCGTTTATTCGAAAATTTTGGCAAACGAAAATTAAATATTGCGCCGTGAGGACATTATTAAGGAGTTCCGTCGGATGCACTTTTTAGTGGAAAGTAGGTAATTTACTCATTGCTTTTATCATTTTATCCTTTTTCCCGGGCGAATATTACGGTTTCTTTTTTCTCTTTTAACTAAGTCCCGTTGCATTATTAGAGTAATAAGTAAATAATTGTGGTGGAAAATTTCAAGGGCGAAACGAAAAAGGGGTGTTTTTTGCCTTTGGATATATAACCTAGTATTAAGCACGCGAGACAAAGTTGAATATACTGTAAAAAGAAGAAAAAAATAATAGATCGATAGTTATTATTGAAAAAGAAGAAAAGGGTAGTTATTTTTTAAGTGGAGCAAATGGGTGCTTGAGCGGTAGATGGAATATAATTTTTATCTTATTTTATGAACGATAGTTTTGAAAGCAATAAAAAATCATATATAAGATAACAATAATTCTTTAAGTTAATTAACCTGTATGCATTTATGTCTTTTCACTTTCAAATTTGAATATCTATCATTTTCATTTTTCAACATTTCAGAAATACGGTATGAAATGCCCCATCTATCCTATTCTATATGATCTTCTATTAAAGAGCACACCATGCACTTTTCTTTACCTGTGCAAATGATTTGACCTCCAAAATACCCAAATAAAAAGAAACTATTTAAATTTTAAAGAATTAGGAATTACATTTGATAAACAAATGTATATCTGGCATGTTTCGGTAATTACATATCTATTGCATAAAGGTGAAAATCACAACCTTTCATAAACAAACAATAATAGATTGAGCAAAAAGCCATCATCACCTTGATCTTCACAGTGGGTTTTGTCCATATAATCTCATCTAGTTCTAGTGGATAGGGAAGAGTTGAGTGGCACGAGCAATTCCTAATCTAATGGGATTTGATTATCAAAAGTATTTAAATACTAAATCGTGTTTCCATCTAACAATTTAAAGTTTTTGCAACACATGATTTTGGTTCACGAAATTTCATATGGTATTCGAGTAGAAAGGTTGTAATTTCAACTCTTTTCAAACCCCTTATTTATCTCCCATATTATATGTTTCCACACGTTAGTCGTATCTCCTATTATATGTTTCCACACAACAGTTTACAGACCAAAGTGTAGCTACATGCGAAGGGGATTACTATATTTAAATATTGAGCAAAAGCCATTGAAAATTTCAAACTATGTCCCATATTACACGTTTATTCTAAATTATTTTCTGTGACATAAAAAATTTCACACTTGTATCCATGTGACATATCTACCCTTCGTCAAATTTCTATTAATGGGAATCGTTAAAAATCTGCCTACCTGGATGTTAAAAAGCAAACAGTGTTGACAATGGTTAAGTAAAATAAAAACAACGTTATATTGAACGAAAAATCGTCTAACAAAACTTTGACGGAAGGTAAATGTGTCACGTAAATACAACTTTGGGATTTTTTATGTCACAAGAAAAAGTTTAGGATAAATATGTCGCGGTTGGCATTTTAGGGTTTGATTTCACACAAAAAAGTTTAGGTAAATGTGATACAGTGGGCATAATTTGGGTTTTTGGCGACTTTTATGATTTCATCTATCAACTTCAGTTTTTAGAGCACTTTGGTTATTGTTCACAAATTTAAATAAATTATCCATAATATTTCCTTAGACCACTAACCAAACCTATTGTATCCTTTTCTCAATCCTTAGTTCAATTATCCAATGAAGATGATTGAATTCTTAAAATCCCCACCTACAGCCTTCATGAATCCCCTTCTCAAAGTGCATTAAAAACCCTAAAGTTAAGAAAATGTCATTCTATATAGCTATATGTGAAAGCCATTGATCTTTTTGACGCGAAATTTATTCGATCAATAAAGTCGTTTAGCGCATTCGCGACACGACACCCTCTCAGTAATGATCGTTTTCTATTCGGTTGAAGAGTTCCATGTGAATAACCGTTTTGCACAAATCTCCATCTTAAATTGAATTTAGTAATTTAGTTATTTTATGTCTCGTAATCGCCTATTTCACAGATTATTAAATCGCAATTTTAATGACGATTAATGAGAGTAGAAGAGTTAAATTATTGATAATTAGATATACATATACAAAAACACAAGATGTATGCAACAGATGGGGGCAGATTTTTCAATTGAACGAGAAACACCCGCATTATAATAATGTCTGCAGTCACACTCCAAACAAGCACACACCGAATAATAGGGAAAATTATCCAAAAAGTCCTAAACCTATTGCACTTTTGTCAATTCAGTCATAAACCTTTTAAGTTTGCCAATTCAGTTCTAAACCTTTTCACTTCTTGCCAATTGAGTCCATCCGGGCCGGCTGTTGGCCATTCGGCCAACTCTGACGTAGAAATTTTTTAATAGTTTTTTCGAATTTTTAAATATATATATTTTTTATGCCTTCTTCCCTCTGGCTAGACCGGCGACCGGCCAGAGGTATGGGCCGGCGACTCCGTCAGCATTGGTTGGATGCCCGGCGGTCACGTTAGCGTCGACCGGTTAAAATTGGCCGGATGGACTCAATTGGCAAGAAGTGAAAAGCTTTAGGACTGAATTGGCAAACTTCAAATGTTTAGGATTGAATTGGCAAAAGTGCAATAGATTTAGGATTTTTGGACAATTTTCCCACGTGTAACGTAAGCAACGGAGACAGAGAGAGAGACAGAGCTTTGAAGAGAAAATCGCTCATCGGGAATTCATCGTTCAAAGTCTTTTCCAGCCCTGACTTTGTCCTTACTCTCCACAGTTTCTTGCCTGGTTTGCCCCGGATTTCCCTTCATATGGTCGTCCGAACCGCAGAGAGAGGGAGGGAGAGAGAGATTACATAGACATAGAAACAGAGCATATGAAGCAAACGCAAGTCCAAGCTCTCATATTTCTATGCACAGTCACAATTGCCTCATCAGATATACTGCCAGGATCTACTCTCTATGCATCTGAACCAGCCCAAGCCTGGTCGTCGCCGACCAACACCTTCTCTCTTGGTTTCGCACCTACCGAACCCGCGACGAATCCCCCGACGTTTGCTGCAGCCATCGCGTACTCCGGAGGAGTGATTGTCTGGTCCGCAGGCCATGGCGCGACCGTGGACTCTATGGGGTCCCTTCAGTTCCTTCCCTCGGGTAATCTCTGCCTTGTTAATGGCTCGGGAATTGTCATCTGGGAGTCCAACACAGCCGACCGTGGAGTCTCCTCTGCATCTCTCGATGATTTGGGGAACTTCTCCCTCAAGACTGGCGATGTCTCCGTCTGGTCCTCCTTCCAAAATCCCACTGACACCGTCTTGCCAGGGCAAAACTTCTCAGCAGGCATGGTTCTGAGATCTGGGCCGTATTCATTCACTCTTCTCAGGACTGGCAATCTCACTCTGACGTGGAACGACAGCACAGTGTACTGGAACCGCGGGGTGAACTCGTCCGTCGACGGAGACCCGTGGAAGATCTCGAACCAGACACAGGTTCAGAATTTCTCTGTCAATTTGCGTTCGCCTAGTTTAGGACTGCAATCGCTAGGGATTCTGTCGGTTTCCGATCCGATGCTCGAAAATCCCGCGATCATGGCTTATAGTAGCGATTATGTAGAAGGGAGAGACATATTCAGGTTTCTGAGGCTGGATGGGGATGGGAACTTGAGGCTTTATAGCTTTGCCAGAGGGGGTGGAACAACTACCATGACTTGGGCAGCCGTGCCTGATCGATGTCAAGTGTTTGGTTATTGTGGACATATGGGGATTTGCTATTACAATGACTATGACTACGAGCCTTCCTGCGAGTGCCCGTCTATGAATTTCGAGCCAATTGACGAAAAAGATAGCAGAAAAGGGTGCAAGAGGAAGGTGGAGATTCGAGCTTGTCCTGGCAATTACACCATGTTGGAGTTGAATCACACCCAGTTCCTGCAGTACCCTACTCAAGATCCTGCAGAAGCCAGCAGATCGCAAAAAGCTTTTGCAGCTAGCTTGTCGTCTTGCGGGATGAATTGTCTTGGAAGCAACTCTTGTGTAGCATCAACTTCCATGAACGATGGAACGCGCGAATGTTACACCAAGTCGCTCGGTTTCCTCAGTGGGTATCGTGCTTCGATGCTTCCGAGCACATCGTACATCAAGGTCTGTGGACCCGTGCTCTGGAACGCACCAGATAACGGCAAGAGCGATTACTCGAGATTGCCTGCGAGTGTTTTCGTTCTTCTCGTTTCGGCTTCCCTTCTCGGGTTTCTTATGTTCCAAGGTGGGGTATGGCTGTGGTGTCGTGGTAATGGTGCCAAGTTTGGGCGGTCATTGCCGCATTATGCTCTTCTGGAGTATGCGTCGAGCGTGCCGGTACAATTTTGTTTTAAGGAGCTATGGAGATCGACAAATGGTTTCAAGGACAGAATAGGAGCAGCAGGAGGATTTGGTATTCACTATAAAGGGACTCTCGCGAATGGAACTGTCATTGCTGTGAAGCGACTCGAAGGAATCGAGCGGGGCGAGAAAGAGTTCAGGGCTGAGGTCACGAAAATCTGTTGCACCCACCATTTGAATTTGGTCAGATTGATTGGTTTTTGCTCCGAGAGGACTAATAGACTACTGGTATATGAGTTCATGAAGAATGGTTCCCTCGATAGCTTTCTCTTCGTTGCGAAGGAAAATTCGGGCAAGCTACTGAGTTGGAATCAGAGATTCGACATTGCCGTCGGCGTCGCGAAGGGCATCAGGTACCTACACGAGGAGTGCCAAGAACCCATAATTCACGGAGACATAAAGCCAGAGAACATCCTTTTGGACGAGAGCTACAATGCCAGGGTATCGGATTTTGGCCTCGCAAAGCTTTTGAATCCAGGCGACGACACCGGCCCGGCTTTGCCCAGCATCAGAGGGACGAGAGGATACCTAGCCCCCGAACAGCTTGCCGACCAGCCTGTGACGTCGGAGTCGGACGTCTACAGTTTCGGATCGGTGTTGCTGGAGATGGTGGGCGGCAGGAGGAACTTCGAAGCCTCGGCCGAGACAAGCGGGAGTAAGTTCTCCGAATGGGCTCGCGGAGAGCACGAAGGGGGCAATGTGAGAGGGATCATAGACAGGAGGCTTCTCGAGGATGATCAGAACGCGGTGGATTTCGACCAAGCGAGAACAGCCATTGCGGTGAGCTTTTGGTGCACTCAAGAACGACCTTCGTCGAGGCCAAAGATGGGGAGAGTAGTGCAGATGCTCGAGGGAGTCATGGAGGTTGAGAGACCAAAGCCATCTCCAAGATCTGCTGATGAATTTGTCTGTACCTAATTTTGAAAATGCCTGCAGTAACTTAGTATTTGTGTACGTGATACTATGTTCAATTATTGTAGTGACCCATGATGCTATCTTGGTGCCTCGGAACGTGAAGTCAGCTCGTCGTGAAAGTGGGCTAATCAAAGGCGCAAATCACTCCCCACCTTTTGACAAGTGGCGTGTTCTGTTCTTCCAACGTCAAAGAGGAAGCCACTATAATAATGACTGCGTCATGGGAACAAGTGATTTTGGAACAACGATTGACCAATCTCTGATATGCCTGACGATTGCCTCGTTCCGCGTATAGGATAATTGTCGATTTACATGAATCAACCTGTCCATATTCTTCGAGAGAATGCTCGAGTACGATGACACCATCCATTGAGAAAAATTAAAACAAAATATACGATGTTTCGAGTCCGGCCTTTTAAGCGATGGAAAGCAAACGCGCTTAAACCTGATATTGGTATGGGCTAAGGGTGTAAAAAATACCCGAACCGAACCGAATAAAAAATTTCGGATCTTTTCGGTTCGGAATTTGGGTAATTTGACGGTTTGGTTTGGATTTTGGTTTTCATTTTTTTTTGGGGCTTCTTCTTCTTCCCTCCGTACCCTCTGTGACAGCAACAGCACTAGAAAAAAACCACATCTTTTGCTGCAAAAGGTTCAATGCTCGCCACGAAAATGGTGCATCTGAAAAACAGGGACGCCAAGTCCTCAGTTCTCCATGGGAAAAGTACGAGCTTGGCCGGCTGCCGGGGCACGCGACTTTTGCGAAAGGATACCCCACGAGTATCCTCCAAATGAAGATCTCATTGACAATCTAAGCTCTATTATCTTTCTCATTTGTTGCCGATTCTGCGCGGCGGGATTTGGACAGCCATGGAGCCTCATCATCTCCAGATCTGGAGGAGCCTTGTCGCTGGTGAACGTCAACGACATTGCGGAGCTCGCGTGCTCATGGCGTTCTCAAGATCCATCCTTGTCGAAGGCGATCCCGTGGCGTTCTTTTTTTCTAGAGCTGTTATTGTGACAAAGGGTGCGAAGGGAAGAAGAAGAAGAAGCAAGGGAAAAAAAGGAGAAGAGGAAACTCGAAATCCGGCCCGAACCGAACTCAATAGAATCGTGTTTTCGGTTTGGGTCATTTTCGGTTTTGGTCACTGTTCCGATCAAAACAAGCACACTCCCATACGGTACGGTTCAGGTATTATAGAAATCCGAATCAAACTAAACCGTTAACACCCACTATGGACCAACCCTTCAATTCGAGCAAAGTGGATGGTAGAATTCTAATCAGGCTTGAAAGTTTAAGCATTTGAACTCGGCGATTACTACCTAATATTGGAATAGCCATCCCCTCCAATGATGTCAAGGAAGTCGGGCATGTTGCAAACAAAAGAACTATGGCTTGTCCCTAACCACTTGATGCTCGATGTAAGTTTTGATAAGGAATAATGACACAAATGATCCTTGAATTTTTGCTCATTGTGCAACGTAATCCCGAAACTTTTAAATTTGTTCGATGTGGTTTATGAACTTTAGCTCAATGTATAATGCCGTCCCTGAATTTTTAATTTGTTCAATGTGGTCCATTGACTTTTGGTACATGTATCTGACAACATTGAATATTTTCATACAGTCCAGGAATAAAATTAAACACGTACTAAAATTTCAGAGATCACATTAAATAAATTAAAAGTGCAGTAACGACATTGCACATCAGGCTAAAATTTAAAGATCACGTTGAATTGAATAAATTTAAAGTACATGGATCATATTGCACGTCAGGTCAAAATTTAAGAACCGTTGTCTAGTTCCTATAAAATTCTCATCTCTTAACCTTCTCATGATGGATGGCGCAATTTCCTCTTCCATGTTGCCTTGACCTAGACTTTTCTGCCTGATGACCTTTTTGCTGTTGCAATTTCCTCTTCCATGTTGCCTCGACCTAGACTTTTCTGCCCGATGACCTTTTTCCTGTTGATCGATCAACAGCAAAAAAAGAAGAAGAATTGACCCGCTGTTCAAAACGACAAGAAAGCAGGCTCGCGTGCGACTTGGTTTGTCCAAAACGACAAAGCAAGGCACACCGCTCGCATTGGGAAATCCCCTCCAAAAATTAGCCTAAGGGAAAGATTTACTTAACTGCGAAATCAGCATTGCGAAGGCGCCGATCACCCCTAAACAACATCTTAAATCCCCGAAAACTCATGAGGAATATGCTCAAAATTATATAATTATGAAAAGTTTGTCGTTTTCAATGCAACCGTTCGCCTCGCGGACGCCGTGTTAACATGTAATCATTGCGTTGGAAAAGGGAAATCGTTCCTTAAATAGGCATAGGACTCACAAGTGCGCGGAGATTCAGAAAAGGAAAAAGCGTAAAACGACATCGCCCAGCCGGCTCGAACGGGACGAAACGACATCGCCAGCCCATGATTGCTGGGGGAGGGAGCTCCAAGGAGAAGAAGACCCGATTCGCGATGTCAACGACCCGAATTCGAATCCGAAACCGTTCTCCCGATCGAAAACAAAACGCCAAAATCTGTCCAATCGAAAATCACAATCGCCGAGTCGAGCGCGGACAAAAGCTTCGTCGAAACGTCGATCCGGCCCCGCTCCGCTACGCACAGCTGGGGAACTCCGCCTCCCGCCGCGCTCGCAGCCGCCGGCAGCCCGCCATGGCCGAGCCCTCCGCCGCCGCCGCCGCCGCGGCCCGCCCTTTCCGTGGGCGTCTCGATTTCTCCCCCGATTCGCCGCCGAAGCGCGCTCTCTCGCCCGATCAGCACAAGTTCTGCGCCGAGGCGCTGAGGGCGCTCAAGGAGAAGCTCCAGACGCCCGAGAGGATCATGCAGGAGTTCGGTCACTTGCAGGTTCGGTTTCTTGCTTCCTATTTCTTTCGTCGTGTTCGCCGTCGCGGTGGCCGTCACCGTGTTATTTCGTCCGATTCCTCTTGCTTGGGATGAAGAAGTCTAGGGAACTGTCGAATTGAAAGACGCCTCGGTTGAGATTTCCAGCTTGTACGGCTACGTCATGCGCTTTCTGGAAATTGTCGAGTCGAACTGTTTAGCGGTTTCGGAATGCGGTCCTGTTTTTTGTGCAGATGCAAACTAAAGTTATCTATTTACTTCCTAGAGTTGATTGTTGAGCTTGTTATGCGTTTGCTCTCCTAGAATTTAGCGATTCGTGTAATTGTTGGCGGCAGGCAAACAGACTGAGGTCATCTGAGATGCTGAGGAGCTGTACCGTCGCTCTGGATGACATCAATTTGAGCAAAAATCGCTACACAGATGTTGTGCCATGCAAGTATCGGCCTTTTGATCTGAATACGCAGTCGTCGATTTAATGCATGTCCTTTGCAATGTGCTGAGGTTTTTATGTTGCTTTCCGTTGTCTTGATTTCAGTTGACCAGACTAGAGTTGTTCTGAACCCATGTAAGGATTACAGACCTGCGGCGAGGGGTTACATTAATGCAAGCTTCATCACGGTGAGTTGGTGCTTAGGAAAGTCCATCAGAATGATTGAACAGTCTTTTCATATTCAAATTTTTGCGAGTCTTCGTTTTAGGCTTCCTCAAACGAAAACGTTAGTCGATTCATAGCCACGCAAGGCCCATTGCCGCATACCTATGAGGACTTTTGGGAGATGATACTCCAGCAACGTTGCCCGGCAGCTGTCATGCTTACTCGGTTGGTTGACAGCTACAGGACATTTAATTCCGCAGGTGTCAAGGTAGTTTGGTTTTGCTATGCTAGCTGTGCACTAACTGCTTTTCTTATGTTCTTTATGTGTATCATGCGTACTGGTTTTGTCTACTTACCAGATGCCTTTAATCCTCATGGGCCAAACTTTAAGGACCACCGCTATTTTCCATTTTATTCATCACTCTTTTAGATATTTCACACCCACATCCATTCGATATCCATATGTGCAGGTTCAAGTTCTGTTGACAAGGATTGATGCAAATACGTAACGTATCATTGAGTTGAAAAGTCGAAAGAGTATAATTATTCAAGGGAGGGGTAACAATGAAGTGTTACTTAACAGGAATTCAATTTCAATTAGAGATAAAGATTCTAATCTACTATTGGCTTCTGTTAGTTAAGGACCATCCTGAAAAGTAAATTCAGGAACGTGCTATTCCAAAAACCTTTCTGTGTGACATTTAAATACTTTCAGTTCAAACATACTCACTAGTGGGTGTACTTGTTAGATTGTCCGACTCAAAAACTTACATTTTTTTTTTTGGTCGGAACTCAAAACCTTAAGTTAATAGGTGTAAGGAGACTACATTGAATGTAAGGTCTGCTGAAATCTTGTAGACGTGTGATGTGAATATTGTAACAACCTCTCTTATGTGTATGTTGGATAAGAAATGATACGTGAAATTGACAAACGAGAGCTTGCGCACGCAAAATAAACAGGGGTGGAATCTGGCTCTAATAGTGTGTTAGAATGACTAATCAAGAGCTTAAGTTAATAAGTGAAGGGAGATCACCTGATTATAAGGCCTACAAAATCTCGTAGACAAGCGAAGTGGGATACTTCAACAGCTCTCGGCTTCATTTCTTTCAAGAAACAATTTGGAACGTTGATTGACCGATTTGGAGTGTAGTCTGGATGATCATAAATGCTTGTGTTTGTTATAGTACTATGGTAGAAACGAAACATTACTGACAAATAATTACCAGAGCTAGTTTCAATTTATATCTTCTTAAAATGTTCATTAATAAGTATAAGGAAAAATAGGTTTACTTCAGATATGTGATTTATTGCCTTTATGTTGTGGCAAATGGGAAAGGCTTCTTTTAGCCAAATAAAAAATAAAACAGTGGAAAGGCTTCTGCTTGTAACTCCTAAATTCTGTTTTTCAGGTGACATTCATAATTTTAATTGATGTGTCTTATCATAGTAAAAGTTTGAAATCATGGGACGTGCCTTTCTTTTTAATATCTTCTTGTGATGGGTAGTATGCTTTTGCAAACATCATATTATTCTGATATAGGTTACCTTTGTTGTAACTCAATTTACAGATGGTCAAATGTGGAGATTATTTTCAGGCAGAAGATGGTCCGAGAGACTTCGGAAATATCTGTATCACGACTAAATGGATAAAGAACACTGATACTTCATTGGTGTTGCGTCATTTGAAGGTGAATTACAAAGAGGTAGGACAAACTTTTTAAATGAATTTGCTGAACCAATTTGAGCTGATGATCAAGTCATGCCATAGTGGGACTAGGCTATGATCCAGTATTGCATTGCTTTTCAAATCCTGATGAAATTTTGGAAGTATAGTTCCATTTTGAACATAAATACCCTATATATGACGGCTGTTTCACAAGCCTTTGTTTTGAACGGTAGTCTGCTCAATTTTTACTACTATTACCGTGGAAAAATTTCATCTCATTTTAATATTTTAGCTGAGATTACTTCTTCTTCTTTTATTTTTGGTTAATCTATCCATGACCGTTGGATTTTGGGCATAAAACTAACACATGGTGGTTCCGGTCCCTTTTAGTATTGGCAGAGGATACATAGAGTCAGTAACTATGAAAGGGCGTCCAAGCTTCCAATGACCCTCGACCATTGTAACATCCCACTTGAGTACAAGCCCATGTTACCAAGTTTGGCGGTTTTCTTAGATTACTTAAAAGTGTTTTATATCTGATTGCTTTTGGGTCTGTCCGCCTGTGAATTGTCTCAAGTATTTTTGTGTAAGTTTGGTTCAGATATAAGGTCTATAGAGGTTAGTAGGCCACATGGTACCATTCCTGAGTTTTTTTTTTGTTAGAAGGTACCATTCTTGTTTAATTATTGTTGAACTCCTCCTTTTTAAGTGCATTCCAAATAAGCTCATTATCTTTGTTAACTAGAACTGATAAGTGGAAACAAAACAACGTTTGTTTTGTACCTTCGAAAGAATGGACAGTTTTTACAATGAACAATTGTTTTTCTTGGTATGCCTGTTCTTTTGCTATTATCAGGACCATAGTAACAGTATGTCTATGCTCTATATTTTGAAGTGATCTCCTTTAAGGTTTGGTTCTAATGTCTTTTTCGTTTTGGTGTTATTACTTTTTGTTGTAGACCGAGGAGCCACCTATTTCTGTTCTTCATATACTATACCCTGATTGGCCTGATCATGGAGTTCCGGCTGATACGATTGCTGTCCGTGAAATTTTTAAGAGAATAAACGAGATACCACCGGATGTTGGCCCAATAGTTGTGCACTGCAGGTTGTGGTCATGTTTGATTCAGAGTACTCCATTTTCAATTGCTGCCTTTATCTGATCCAATCTTCCTCCTTTTCTTTCTCTTTCTCAGTGCAGGCATAGGTAGGACTGGAACATACTGCACAATTCACAATACCGTGCAAAGAATTCTTGTTGGTGACATGTCTTCTTTAGATCTAGTCGATACCATAACCATTTTTAGGTCTCAGCGAATTGGAATGGTTCAAACGCTGGTAAATTATTCATCTTCACTCTGAGCTCTCGTCATCTTTTATGCTTGTACGTAAGCTGGTGTTCTGCTTTAAGTCCTGTATTAATCCCTCAGTAGTTATCATACGCCTATTTGTGTCCAAAGCTCAAGTTTTGCTGAGTGAAAAGAGAAAAGCTAGTAAAGACAATGTTCAAGCTTTATACACTCAATTAGTTCCTGCAGTAATGAATTTGTTTCTGATTGACACTACAACCATGAAAGCAACTCTTTCTGATTTATTTTCTTATTAATTTGTATGGCAATCTTGTGTTTATCTCAAGGAGAAAGGGCTACTTATCCTGATTTTATCTCTTTATTACTTTTTTTATGGTTGGACAGTTGAAGGTGCTGTATTTGCAAAATTTCATCCCCGTGTATCATTTTGGTTGATCATGTTGTTTTATTGCTTTGATTTTAGGAGCAATATGTGTTCTGCTACAAAGCTATCATTGATGAATTGGAAGATTTGATCTCCTAGGTCAACTGCAAGTAGCTGAAAGTTGTATGCATGACGTACGCGTCGTAAGTTTGTGTTTTTCACCAAATTGTGCATTTACAAAATATTCGATTTTTACCAAATTGTTGTTCATTAGCATTTTTAAATAATTTTTTTAATTGTCCAGATTCATCAATTTTGCTTTTTTGAAAGTCACTCGGAAGATGGTCAACTGCTCGTTGCTTTCTCGAGAAGTTGAAGGCAATTCAGGTTTAAATTTTTCCCAATCTGCTGTTCTCCTTCAATAGTAGGCATTCTGCAACATGTTGCGAATCGGTGGAAGAACTACCTGCTGGGAGTAGAGCCGGTTTCATGGTCCCTTGCTCATTGATCTTGAAGGTAGTCGTAGTAATAACTCGTTGGCTGCATTGTTATGTCGTACTAACTTCCTGGTAGATTTTAGAATTACTGTGCTGTTGTCTGCTACGAGTTAGATTTTACTGTATTATGCAGCATATTCATAGTGCATGTATATGTTTTGTGTTACTTCAGTGGTCCCTGGAGTCTGCATGGCTGGTAATGTACCAAAACGACTTTCAAAGCCAATGGCTTATTGTTGTGGATATGACAATCAGAAGTAGGGTTACGACCATTTTTTCCCCCCAAACAGTGATGTGCAAAAGGACCAAACGGTTGTTCTCTTAGGCTCCGTTTGTTTTGCGGAAAATAAATGATTTGGAAAATATTTTTCTAAAAATGATTGTTTGTATCGCTTGAAATAATTAGTCAATTGAAAATGTTTTTATTATCGACAACAATTTATGTCTAAATAATTTTGTGAATGATGAAGATGTTATAAGCGATACGATCGATCATTTTAAGGAAAATGTTTTTCAAATTGTTTATTTTTCGCGAAACAAATGAAGTTAGTCCTAAGTGTGCTTGAACAAGACCCACCGACCGGCTTCGTATTTGGTGATATTTAGTGCTTGTGGTCTAGCACTAGCAACGAGTATTTGATTCAGGGTATGGTCACAAAGAAGTATATATCTTTGCGAATTTCCTGATTCCAACATGAATGGCCTGCTGCTTCTTGACCGAACCAGATCAAAAAGGCGCACTTAGCCTAACGTAACCCAAGATACTTCTTGACCGCTAAAAAGAAAATCGTCTACGAATCTTGGACTCCGATTGTTCCGTAGGAAATGAGTAATTTGGAAAAAGTTTTTCTGAAAATGATCGGTCGTATTATTTACAAAAATGAACATACAAAAAGTATTTTTCATTGTTTACGAAATATTTAGATATAAATTATTATTTATTAATTATTTCGATCGATACAATTAATTGTTTTTAAAAAAATGTTTCCAACTGCAAAACAAACACGGAAGAGGTCAGCCTTTTGCGGACAGTAGAACAAAAATGACATTATCTTCGACCATTTTTGAAACTTAGGAGACCTCCTTTTAGTTACGAAGAAAAGAGTGAATCACTGGGCCACGTCATCGCATTTACAAGATATAAATCTGGAAGGTGATGGAATCGTGGGTGGGGTGTTAATGATCTTTGTTAAGCCTTTAACCGTGGATCACTCACCTTCAGATGATTCCCGTTGCAGACCACTTTAACTCTTTCCTCAAGCTTCAGAGGTTAATGTCGAAACAAGCCGAGCGAGATGCCGTGTAAGATCCCGAACAATTATTTTTCTTTTGGTAACTTCAGACCATGGGAAAGAAATGGTTTTAACTAGGGACAAAGTCATAGCACAAGTTCATCTTGATTTCAATGGATGGAACAAGCTTAATTTCATTTGCAGTTGCCCCTGATGTGGCCCCAAAAGTGGCCTGTTTCGGCCTTCCCTTTTGTGTCCCACGATTCATCATCATGTTAGAGTTTTTCTGACATAGGAGAGAGAGAGAGAGAGAGAGAGAGAGAGAGAGAGAGAGAGAGAGAGAGAGAGAGAGAGAGATATGGTAAAGAGAGGGTTAATGTAAAACATCATTTGGCACTCGAGACGTTTGCAGGTTTGGGTGATGGAGAGACGTCGGGAGGTGGAGATGGCAGCAGGGTTAGGGCGAGAACGCCGCTCGCAGCCGCGGCGATTGCTCCGACCACGAACGCCGGCAAGTTGCCTCCTCCGAATAGAGCATCGAATGGTCCGCTCGTCACCGATATCAACATCTGTTTGAAAAACTCGAGAAAATCAATAACCCAAGCATTTCTAGCAGTAACTAAGCGTTCTCACTCAGCAGATTCAAGCATAGCAAGTTCAAAAAGAAGTCGAGTTTCCATTGAAGTTATTAGATTTCGGTTCTTCTCCTCTTTTATCACGTCTTTTATCACATGCATCACATGGGTTCTCCAACTAGTGATACTGCGAAACTTCAAACGAATACCTGTGGAACGACAATGGCGAGATTCAGCACCCCCAAAGATAGCCCTGAAATAGTTCATTACATGTCAACTTCCCTATCAGATCAAAGCATGTATAACTTAGGATTATACAAAGTTAATTGGGTCACAGTGCATGCTTCTGTACCTTGACCTGCACCGGAAGTATTGGAGAATATCGATGCCAGAGCAAAAGGAACGCTGCAAGTGACCTGCAGTTTCAAAACCATCGTTACTCCTTGATTAGCTCAGTCGAACTGGGGCCATTCATATTTGGGCTATATCTAGCTAGAAAGCCTAGCGCGGCTCAAAGGATTATGGATGATATTTGCGCAAGTTCGGGCAACAAGTTAGACCCGACCTTAGCACCCGACCCGGTTTGATCCGGCTGCATGTGGTAGTTTTCGTTCTCAGAGTTCGAGTGCGAAATTTTGCTACTAATGACGGTGCATGCTATCATTTTGCCTCGTCCAATTGATCCTCTGTGATATAAAATGCATGAAAAAATGAAGAAGATGGAAACAACTTACAGCGAGCGGAATGCCCAGCACTGCGAAAAGCACCAAAGCACCGACCTTCACCCCCGCTGGCGGAGGCAAGGCTGCGCTATCCACGATGCTGCCGCCACCACCTCCGTGCGTGACGCTCGGGAACCTCCGCTGCGACTCGGCCAGCTTGGTGACCAAAACGGTCAAACCCAAGCACACAGCCAACAGGAAATTCACCACCCCCCAGAGCCTCTTCACGCCGCCAGCCCCGCGCGCCAAGTATTCGATGGCCAGCGACATGAACCCCGAGACGACGGAGTTCAGCATCAACCCCAGCGCGCCGGCCCTCACCCCCATCCCGTACAACTTCCCCTCGCCAACCTTCCCTCCATAGACTTCCCGTCCCATCCAATCCGTGTCGAACAGCAGGAAAGGAAACCACGCGATCCAGTTGAGGCAGGTCACGATGAGTAGCGTCAACATTGGCCTCTTCATGCTTCGCAGAGCCCTGAATATCTCCCCTAGGAACGGCTCGCGCCCAACCTGACTGCCCTCCGAGTCGCTGGCCGTGTCGCCGCGGAGCTCCGACAAGGGGGTCTCGTGGACGGTGGAGAGGGCGAGGGCGGTGAGGCCGAGGAGGAGGGCGATGGAGATGAAGAAGCAGGACTTGAGGTTGGAGCAGTAAACGTCGCAGGCCGCGGTGTCGGTGAAGGGGAAGAGTTTGTGGAGGTGGGTGTAGGAGCCGGAGGCGTAGCCGCCGACGTTGCCGACCGCCATGAAGAAGGAGTACATGGCGTTTGCCGCCCGGGTCTTCTTCTGGTTGCCCGCCGAGAGGTCGGCCAAGAGCGCTCGGCATGGTCCCTGTTAATCAGTTAACTCAAACAATTTATATTAAAAAATTGTCTTATTAACAAGTGCTTTGTTAAGCATATTTTGCAAGAAAATATTTTGACTTTCAATACATTAAACAAGAGCAGAAGCTGAATACTAATTTGATCATTAAATTTTTTTAAGGGCACTGATTTAAAGGAAAACATGGCTTAGCCAATTCGGATCTTCTCCATAACTTCTAAATTGAATTTAAACCGTGATAAATTCACGTAAGATCCACCAATTCCAAAGGCTTATATTCAATTTAATACTTGTTCCACACTCATATGATAATTTCTCATATAATAATTTCCTGAAGATGGTCCCTCCATTTAGGAAATAAGTTATCACTTTATGGAAAAAAAGAAAAAAATGTTTTCTATCTTAATGAGGTTACTCAATGTCTTTGATAAGAAGTTACTGGGTAGAAAATGACCTCAGCTAATCCACCAGACTACATTAATCGCGTGTACAAAAGATATGGAACCCATGTTGGTTTTGACCTATTTAAAACCCACATTTAATTAAGCTTTATAACTCAAACGCACAATAACCCATTTATTAAAATCATGCAAATCGATATCGACCGAGTTCATAAAAAATGGGTTAAAAAATGGGTCATCAACCCATTCTGACATCTCTACGGTGTTGCCACATGTGCATGTATTTAAATAATTATGTATATGTACTATGAAATTGCACATGCACTTATGTCACAACAATTATATCCGCATAATTTTAGCAACAAAAAAAAACTGAGTGTATTTGCTATAGAACGAACCGGTTTTATTAAGAAATTCTAAGTATATTAAACTTATATTCTCAGATATGGTCCACATTTCTGATTTATCAGTTTTTTTTTCATACGATAAGCTCATAGTTGGAGATGTGGAAGGAGAGGGGGCATATTTCACCTGCAACATGTTGTTGGCCACGTCGAGGATCCAAAACCCGACGACGAACACCGCGATGGCGTGGGGCTTCGGGGTCTGGTCGTGGGCGTCGCCGAAGAGGTGGCCGAGGTCGGCGGCGTAGCCGATGAGGAAGACCGCGAGGGCGACGAGGGCGGCGCCGGCGGCGATGAAGGGGCGCCGGCGGCCGAAGCGGGAGGAGCAGCGGTCGCTGTGGTAGCCGACGACGGGCTGGACGATCATGCCGGAGACGGGCCCGCACAGCCAGATGAAGGCGGCCCACTTGTGTGGGATGCCGAGCAGCTGCACGTACGGCGTCAGCAGCGACAGCTGCAGCGCCCACCCGAACTGCACGCCGGCCGCGATGGCCGCCACCGTCACCATCTTCATAATCGGGCTGGGACGCCGTTGCTGCTGCTCCTCTTTGTTCGCTGCTTCCGCCTCCATTGTCTCTCGCGATTCTCTCTCTCTCTCTCTCTCTCTCTCTCTCTCCCTCCGAACCTTTCTTGGTCACTTTCTTCACTTCCTTTGCGTTGCCTGGCTCTGCTTGCATGGGGGGGTTTTATATATAGGGGAGGGAGGGAGGGGTAGGTGGCGACCGGCGACCGGCGACCGGCAACCGGCGCCAAACCCTTTCACCTTTTGCTTTTAGGCTTATCCAGATTGCTTTTAGCCTTTTTACTGGGGTCGTTGAAATGCTGTTCGGTTTCGGAGTCGTGCGCGTGGTCTCACCGACTACGACGTTGTCTTGCCAGGTGTGGAGGCGCGAGGAAGCTGCTCTTCCAAGTGTAAGAGGACCACCATCAATGAACACAACGCACTCGAGCCTAGCGCTCTCCCTCTCTCTACCAAAACTCATCCGTAATTAGCCAGTCTTAGACTTCACTCCTCCCAACGTACGCATGAATAACTCCTCCTGCTCATAATAAGATATAAGATAAGGCGCACTTCAATGCACTCGTCCATTTCTGCTTATCAAAAGAGGGTAAAAAACATTAAAGAAGGCATTTGACCATTGGCACAGATGGTATTAAAAGGTCACATGATCTTACTTCAGAAGGAGTGAGTGAGATAAAGTGAAAATGTACACGAAGTTTATGCAGATGGTATTGCTGAAAAACTTCATTGCACGCTTAGCGGACGATGAGGTGATGATGATGTTGTGTCTATAATTCTGATGTTGTTACAGTACGATTTTGTCCGACATATAAAGCTCTACCATGATTTTTTCCGACAACTTCTATGTGTATATTTTGGTGTCTTTTTAGGGTTAGGATTAATCTTGCTAGGGTGCTTATATATTATATATAATAGAGATGTATATGTTTCTTCGAAAGAAATGTCGTGAATGATTTAGCAATTGCTTATTGGGGGTTGTCAAGTAGTGCCTTCATGCACTTATAAGATATGCTTATCATGTGATAGTTGTATTTTCAAAATATTGATCACACATGACGGTGGAATGTCGGTTTCTTGAAAACTGCAAAACTTTTTTGAACCTGTTACTTAACAAGTGCCGTCGCGACGCTCTTTGACAATTTCCTTCTTATTTCCAGTCGTATCTATAAACTCTAAATGGGTATTTGAAAATGCGTGATGTATAATCACCCGGTACGTAGCTCGTTCTATAGTCAAGTATAATTCAATGCAATTCCATAGGAGTGTGTAAACAAATCTTAGCACAAAAAAAATTTGCAGCAACTCTAATTTTTTCTCAAACAATTAAGGCCATTTCCGAGCATAACACGCGAGCTCAGCACATCCTGGCCAAGATAACGTACGATCATACATCAAAATCAACGGCCGTGACGCACGGGGACCACGCGCGTCTGGGACGCACTTAAACATTTTCCTTTTGGAGTGATTGTCAATTTGTAATATTTGGGTGGTTTTATCGACTCAGGACGGGAGGACCAGTGCAGCAAGATCATTAAATTCGGCATTATCCACAGACAAAAGTCCCTCGATTGACATTTTGACTAGACAAATGATGAGTAAAATGAGGGGAAGGTCGCGCGGTAACGTCAACGGGGGAGAAAGTTGCTGGGCATTGGGTGGCGAGGATTTCCTGGCGAGGCGTTGGAAAACGTGGACCGACGCAGAAACAGTGTCACTGCAATCAACTCTCCCTCAAGTCTGTTTTTGTCGGTTCCCCTCCTATACCGTCTCTGATCCTTTTTTTTTTTACAGCAAAAACAGGGGTGGTAACTGAAGCGGGCAACTGATGTCCATAGGTTAGGTGGAGCTGAGGAGGGGCTCCCTTTCATTATGTCTTGTGTTTTTACCGTACGTGAGGTTTTGCTAATGCGATGCTGGTGATAAATCATTGATTAGTTTGGCTTGGCTAGGATGAGGTTTTGCTAATGCGATGCTGGTGATAAGTCATTGATTAGTTTGGCTTGGCTCGGATTTATTCAAAATGAAAAGAGTACAACATTCCGATTCGATTCGGATAGGCTCAATCGGGGATTCGCTGAAACTTTAATGGAATTTGCGATCGCTCACTAGTTGGAGCGACCATGTGTGTTGTTTTAATAAGATAAGACATTCGGAATGTGTCACATTATTTACTAGATTAATCGACGTGTTCTGCTCCAATTTGATCATTCCGATGTGATTGATTACAGTAGGCGAGCTTTAATGAGCCTATTTAATTTTGAAATTTACTTAGCACGGTGTGGAACCCTGAACAAGAATTGCCTCTAGTAGCCGTAGCTCATATCTTTTGTAATAAAATGGGTGTCGCAAAATTATTTGCACTGAACCGAAACTAAATTTTTAAGCGGGAAAAAATTGGCAAAAATAATACAAAAAGGACCATACTCGAACTTTCAGTTGCCTCTCTTGCTAAATTTGGTAATATATGGCCGGACGTTCGCCGTTATTCTTGAGAATAACGGTTACTGTTAGCCTAGCAGCGCTAAGAAGATAATGCGTTTTCGCGAACCTACGGGCGTTATATCCGTAGATATCATGTGCAAATGAATGACACGAGAGCGAGAGCACCATTCCCTCGGCAAGAACAAACTTGTCCGTCGCATCTTTTGAGAAATACAAGATTCAAACATTGACGAATCGGAAACCAACAAAATCATGTCATGCCACCAAGTCAAAGTATTAATCACCGCGTGACGTTACTACGACCATATCTTAGTCGATCGGCAGATAAAACAAGAGGTCAAGATTGAGGTCAAGGTCAACCCTCTATCGGAGCTCGACAATCGAGGATCATACATCTTGCCCTGTTTCGTTATCCAACAATGGATATGTAAGGATAGCTCTACTCCGACGGTGGACAGATTAATTAATTTAAAAGTGAAAGTCTTTTTAAGGGGCTAATTAAAAAAAAAAAACACCAACTTTACCTTGAAAGATAATTCTGGCTTGAACTTTTTTTGTTTCAATAAAAATCATTAACTTTTACTTGAGTCCCAAATCTGGCCTCGTTAACCAAAGCTTGAGATCTTGTAGATTGATACAAGCACTTTGACAGGGCATAGCTTTAGAATCTCCTTCATTATACTTCCCAACAAAATCCATTTATTAATGTCCATCACTAGAGCTTGATTTATTAAATGAGATCAATTGATTAATGTTCGTTCGTACTAGATTTCGAAGTTTTAGGTTGAGGGCTGGGGCTTGTTTCAGAAAAAAAAAAGTTTTGGTTGTGAGCTTGGCAGATCTCGTCCATGGTGTCTCTCGACGAGTGGTTGTCCATAACTTTAGATTACGAATAAACGGTGAAGGCTTGCTGGAGATATTCAATCTGGAAATCTTTTCGACTTGTCGGTGAAATGAAAGAGACCATGAACAACTTCACCATTATTCTATAAGTTGTGGCTTGGAAAAGAAGACAATAAATAGTGCTTTAAATCTAGCTAGTAAGCGATATGCATTTATTCCTGAGGTGGAATGGTCACGTTGAATAATTAATGATTCAAAGTCGACGGGTCCAGATTTGGGATATAAGTGAAAGTTAGTGATTTTTTTACGAGGTAAAAAAAATAAGTTCGGCCTAGAAATGTCATTCAAACTAAAGTTTGTGCTTTTTCTTGGAATTAGGCTCTTTTTAAAGTGGTTTCCATACTACAGATTCCGGGATGCAATTTCCATGGACAGTCTCACCGTCGATGAATAAGTTCACATGGAATCACACACTTCACAGCCAGTGCAACCGCGTAGCCGAGTCTTGCACCCAGCATTAAGGATCCTGCACTCTTTTTCTTTTTCCGGTAGAAGTTTAAGGATTCTGGTTGACGTAACAACTCAAGAAACATGCATGGCATGTGCGTTGAAACTCGAAAAAGGAGCAAGAGAAAAGGAGGAGACTCCAGCGATGCTTCGCTTTTCCAAGTCGTCTGCTGATGTCGGAACGTGTGTCTCTCTTCCCCGGTCTCACGGCGGGATTCTCTTGTTCGGTCGGAGCGTCTGTAAAAGATCGGGGGCGAGTGACATAAGAAAGAAGGAAACGCAGCGAGGGTTTCGGTCCATGGGCGGCGAAACCCGACAGACAGCCAACCCCACTCCCCTCATTTCGTGTTCCGAAACCAACAGCAATCCATTTTTGGGCGGTGAAAGCCACACGACATTAACTGCAACAGGATCCTCTCTCTCTCTCTCTATAGCCATTACTGCAACAGGATCCTCTCTTTCTCTCTCGGTTTGGAAGATGAATTAGCAAATCTCAAAATGTGGATATGGAAATTAACAAGTTGGAAAGAAACTAGAGAACCGAAAAGGAAAAAGAAAAGAAAAAAGAAAAACCAAAATCCAACGAGGCTGACGTCGCCTTGGCTAGAGGGCAGTGACCACCTTGCCATGGCTGCCACCAACGTTGTAGATCTAGATGTACGTAATCAGAGAGAGAGAGAGAGAGAGAGAGAGGGAGAGGGGCCATTTGCGACCATCTAGTTTGCCTAAGGACCGCGATTGTGATGAGGTGGTCGCCATTCCTCTCAAAGTATGAAGCATGAATGATTCGTGACCATCGCCATCCGCTCTTCGATTACTGTGAAATTAAGTCAAGCTATTTGCAAGTCGTTTGGACTCGACTCATTATTTACTCGTAATCGACTAGTCTAATTTGTAGTCGAACTTGAGCTACCTGGGTTTTTTTGAGTGGAGGTCGAGGTCGCCAATGCTCAACTCAAGAAGCTAACAAGCCTAATTAAGCTAATATTATTGTTTTTCAAATGATTTTAAAAAGCGCATAATGAATTTGAAATTCTAAAAATACATGATAAATCCACATATTAATGCAAGGGAAAAATCGAGCTAGAAGAAAAGGTTAGGAACCCATTTTTCTACCCCATTGATGATGGGGTAGAAAAATGATAAGATTGGTTTACTAAACGACAAAGTAGATTTGTCAATATTGAATATGGCCTGCAATTAACCCTCGAGAGTTGGCTAAATGATAAGCACTTAATTTGGATATAGCAAATCATATATTCGAATCACATCTCTCCATCGTATTAACTTTAAGGCCATATCTGCATCTTTATGGATGGAGCCTTACTCGATGCACGCGGACGAGACAATTTGCATGTCATCGGGAAAGAAAATGAATATGATTATATTTCACATAGTTTTTCATGGCACTTGATAAGTTGAATTTCTTCATCAATCAAAAAATCATTCGCATTCCTCTAAATAGATAAATGCGCAAACGACATAATACATCATATCACTCAGCAAACCCTTCCTATGGCTACTAATTCAAACATCTGTGTATCCCCCATATGTTTCATTTCCTTTGCTTTTTCGTGAATCTTAATGTTGACCCAACTATAAACATCGATACTAAGCTATGATCAGTATGTGTTATGACCAGGTAATGTATGAATTCTGTAGTTGTTCATGCTTACCAAGTTGCAAAGCTAGCAGCGGCATTTCTGTAATTGGAAGAAGATACATATATACAGAATCTATCAATAAACTATTCAAGACTCCATGAAGTTCGCCAGAGTTTTTTCTTTTCTTTTTTTCCTGACGATACTTATTTTTATGTTAAATGTTTTAAGCATTGCCCTGATCACCTGGAGGTAATATGCATGCGTTAAGAAGAGAGATTGATTGCAGGATCAACTTGAAAAAATGACTTACAAGACCGAGTGAGCAACTTATGCATCATTAAAAGCATGATATCGCGAAACCCTCATGTTTTGCGCATGAATTGCTATGATGCAGTCTACGTTTCGTGACTTAGGCTTGTACTTGTCGTTAATAAGAAGTTATTTAGTACAATTACCCCGCAGCAGTTTCAGCTGTAAAAAGACGTGCTATAAATTTGATAAGGTGTTTGACAAACGCATATAACCGTATCATCTACAAGACTGTAGTAGCTTATTATAGTTAGATAGCTAGATAGGTATCATGGGCTTGGTGCCACCATAGGTCCTATAGAGTTATAAGAACGGGTCCGGCCCGATTGGCCTGAGCTAGGCCTACCAAGCTTGTGTGGGGGTGGGTGTGTTAAAAAATAACGTGTCTTTTTGACAAATATAACAATCGAGACTAAATATTACATGTCATTTGACGAATATATGATATTAAACGAGTATGTGTTGGGATTCTTTGAAAGAAAAGTATGGCAATTTCGATGAGCTTTGTAACGTGATCAAGACAATACCAATCAACATTCAGTGCGTCCAATGAAGTCCGTCAACCCACTAATTTTTTTTTCAATCACCTTTTGGTGTTCTATAATTCAATTGCTTATGTCTAATTAAACATATAAGTTCGAGCACTTCATATATTCGACCGTAATTTCATCAGCCCTGAAAATCAATATGTGTTTGAAAAAAAGGAAAGGAATAAATAGATGTCCTAGCCAATATTATGGAAATTGTTCAATCAGTCCTAAACCTATTATACGGATGTCTTAAACTTTTCAATTTTGCTCATTGAGTCCTAAACCTTTGTGATAAATCTCAATGTAGTTCTTCCGGCCAATATTCTTCGGAAATGGCTGACGTGGCGATGTGCCACGTAGGACGGCCGATAATAACTGGACCATCACATTAGCAATCTTTGGCGAAAATTGACCCTAATGATGATATCGAAATTTCGCGCAAAGGTTTAGGGCTGGATTAACAAAAATTAAAAGCTTAGAACTGAATTGACATTCGTGCAATAAGTTTAGGACTGATTAAGGAATTTTTCCGGCCATCATTTATCTAAGGACGGTGGCATCCATTAGGGTTGATTAAATCTCTTTCTCGATCTAAAACTAAAAGATGTGGCTGCTATATGGGCAGTAAACAAAAACCTAGAGACTGTTTTTCTTTTAACCTAGGATTTGTTTATCGAAGCAGGGGTAAACAACGTTATCGTAGATGACGACGATTCAAGATTCCCTTTAGAGCAGGGACCAAAAACGAAACATGGCGTTCTAAGATAACTGCAGATCAGAATTTGTCAATTTAGTGAACTTGGAACGTGTGTTAAGCCGACTACAAAGTAAAACTCATTATCTCGTGAGAGGAAAGAGATCGAGAAGTACATGACGGGAATTCTTCTTTCAGGTTTTTCCGTTCAAGGCCTGGATCGAAGTGCGTACTCGCATGTCGCAAGAAAGGGAGGAAGCCGACGTTTTATTCAAGCGGGAGTCGAAACGTGGTTGAATTCAATAGGAAACAATATCGAATCACGGGATGCCTTCCATTTCTCGATGGACAGGGCACTGCATTAAGAACAGTCACTTTCGAGATTTCTTTCAATCGTAACAGGGAAGAGAAGCCGTTGTATGTTTAAGGTGCACGAGAACTACCCAACACGGTAGAGACCATAGGAAGCGAATTTAGACTAAAGGCATTACTAGATCAGGGAAGAAATCAGGTGCGATCACAGCATAGATTGGAACAAGATTCGAAATTACCTAAATATCTTAACAATCATCACCCCAACGGTTGACCTTGATCGTACACTCTACCCAAATCGGGCAACCTGCAAAAGCAAAGCACGGTAGACGGTCGTCCATAAATATTTGAATTCAACACGTTCACTTATTGGTCAGCTGCAACATGGATATTCACATGGTCTTGCAAGACCGTAGATACTCTTCTAATCGTAGCAGAAGACGAACAGGCAATGTGATATATCAAATTGGCATCCGCTACGTATCCAAATAATGTCTTACTGTCCACTATCTCACTTCAAGTTCCAGTATACAAGGTTAGATGTACACCTATTATTGTACAAACTGTAGTTATCGCTTTTCTCGTAGTGATTGCTCGCAAACTTCAAGGGGCGGTAATGCCATCAATGACATCCAATGCAGCCATCATGTCTATGCCGAAGTCCATAGATAATGTTATCAGAGTCGGAACTGAAACCCCCGGACTTCCATTGGTGGGAGAATCACAAATACCTCTGCACAGTAGATGGTCATAGCATGAATAACGATTTTCTGTTTCGGATTCCAGAGTGTCACTTCGCATCAGCTTCCTCTTATTTACATCCTTACGCGAACTGTGAGAAGATAATTGAATCTCTTCATCGCTTAGAGAAGGAACTGTTGAGTCAAGTGAACAGGTAAGTCCATTGTTCATTGCCCTTCTTTTGCAGACCAGTTGGTGAAGCCAGAACAACAGTTCAACAATGTAGGGGTCAGTTTTCTCCTTATCAGCGTGATATAGAGTATTGATTCTGATGAAGTCACCCTTGCCAGTGGGTCTCTGGTTAACTCTGGACGTATAAAGAAATATCAATTAGTAATCTTGATGATGTTGAAAGGCAAGAAAGCATCAAAGGTGGGCACATGAAGGTCTAAGCTTAAGTACCTCATATTTGCCCATTCTCCCAGTCTCGCAAAGCCATAGTGTGCTCTAGTTCAAACAAATAAAAAACGGAGTTATGCAATTTGTGTTAATCATGCATTGAAACTTCCAAAAGCAAACAGTATGAGAGGCAGAATTATTCGCATCAGAAGTACAACCCAAGCGCTAAAATTGTTCGATGGAGGAAGACTGCATGCATACAAACCCATGATAAACCTTATAAACAAGCTCTGCGAGATGACAATCTAAAATTCAAACATAACCAATGGTAAAGACATGTTATTTCTCAAGTTTATATCCCAATTTGTCATACACCTGCAGATGCTTTTGCAACTTACTTGATTGTGTTAGCAGCAATCGGAGCAAGCCACGACAATGTCTTCTCCATTTTAGCTTTAATAATTGGAATTGTAGGCTGCACAGACACCAAACATGATGGATACCCCAGATGAGCAAAATCATATTCTGTTAAGAACTGGTCCACGGCAATAAATACATAAATATATCTAGGTACATTATGTAAAAAACGATTACATAAGATACATCAACTACCTCTTCCTGAATCTGAACTTGCCGCAGCCTAAAGCGCAGAGCTGACTTTATACCTGGGGGCAGACTTTGGTACAATGCATTTGTCATTGTTGGAGTTACAGAGCCCGAATGAGCCACCTAATTGGAACAGAAGTTATATGGGTCAAAAAAGACGATACCAAGTCCATCTTTAGCTCTGACCAAAACAAAAAAAGTCCATCTTTAGCAGCAAAGGAAATCAGTAATGGATTCCTCAAGCACTTATCTTGCTATTTCACCAATATTTTCTTTGCAACAGTACATAGTCCATTGTCATTCTACGTGAGCTACTTGGAGTTGATAAATAACAGTTTGTAAACATGGTAAAAAAATCTTTTCTTCATGTCTAAGAACTTGCTAATCATATGAATGTTCCTCACTTTTTCAACAATTAACAATTTGAGTAAATATAAGAAGATACATACGGTAGACACTTATAACAGAGGCCAAACTCCAAATAAAAAGAGTCTGATTGATTGAAAGCTCAAGAGATCACGTGGAAAACTATATCAAATGCCAATGCAGTAGTAGATGCGTATACACTAACCATATTAGATTTACTCAATGACAGATTCAACAGCTTCAAGTCACTTTCCTGTTCTTCTCCATGTTGGTTTCAGGTTGAGAACTTTAGGATTCTGGTAAGTAAATGATGCCTTTTTCATATTTATAGTTAATACGGGTAGGTTCTAGCCACTACTTGAGAGAGCTTTGGATGGCTGGTCAGCCTGCTTGACATAGATAAATCTGTATTTCAGAACGGTTTCTTAATGGTATATAACCGCGCTACAGTTTCAGGCCACTTTCCTGTTCTAGTCCACGTTGAATTCAGGTTGACAACTTTAGGATTCTGGTAAGCAAATGATGTCTTTATATTTATTGTTAAATTATGCATGCATAAATTGGCCTTTGCATTTTCCAGATCGTTCCACATTACAAAATATCTATTCCAGAGCGAATGGACGCAGACTGCAATATTACTGTTTTAGGAGAGATAGGTAATGAAGAATCCTACAGCTACTATACATGTGCCATTTCTATCATGATTAATTCAAGAACCCAAATTAGGATGCACACAATTGAACAAATATGGAAAGGAAAAAATAGACTCGGAATAGAGAACTCCAGAAGAGTCAAAATCAATAAAAGTTATGGACTCACAATAATGTCAATTAGAGTTATAATGCTTGCATAGTGCAAAGCCAGGCCAGAAGATCCCAATTTTCTGTGATTGCTGGCAGAACCTTCTGCTGCTCTTTCATTATCTGTATGTTTAAAGATGGAAAACGTTACGAGGATGTCAATAAAGAGACCAATATTCCATCATGTACCTCAATAAATTACTCGTCAATAGGAGGACGAATAGTTATGATGAATGATCAACCAAGTAAAATGTGGTGGACGACAAGGGACTAGATAAAAGTTTATTTATAAGCACAAAAACATATGTAGCAAAATAGTAGGAACAATTCAGTCATTTGAGCGCATCCTATTTTGATTTCATCTTGGTTTTGTCTATATTTCTTCTTTCCAGCAGAAGACGGATTTTAAGGGGAAGAGAATCTTTGCCTTTCAGAAAGCATACCAGCACTACCAAAGGCTTTAAGAACTTCCAATTGGAGGCAAAGGATGATATCCACAAGCTTTTCCACCACCTTAAGAGAAAATAGTAAGAATGTCGTATCAGCAATTGTTTCTATCATATTTGATAAGAAGACAAAATGCTTATAAGCTGGGCATTGCAAGTCCTGAAACAATGTAATGGGTGAACTCCGCCTAATGGCTTGTCTCATATTGTGAATTTACTAGTTTCCTCTAGTTCATTTTTATCTTTAATCTCATTTCCGTTAAAGTTCTGCAAGAGATATCATCCTCATCGCTGCAGTTTTCCTAACTAAAGCACAATTTATTTCTATAATTTCTGCATCATATGCAGATTACGTCTGCAAAAACCGCGGTAGATATTGGACAGGGAAAAGGATTTTTTGTGACTTTAGAAGACGAAATTATCTCAAAGTTTCTGTTCAAAGCTTATTGAGTAGAACATAGAAAGATTTTTCGGGGAAAATATTTTTCTTTTTCCTCCTAAATATAAACAATTTGTTAGTCTATGCAGTTGAGAATATATTGACATGAACAAAGTCTAGGAAAAAGCTGAAAGAGCAGAATTAAATTGGTACCTCTTCCAGAGCCCTTGACCAAAGTGATTTCTTCTTCAAACTTTTCACATGCCTCAACCGACTCCTTAGCTCCATCCTCAGAAGTGAAAGGCTCTCTTTCAACCGTCAAAGTGAACAATAAGGACAAGCTTTTTACCGAATATAATAAACTATACGAGGAAAAAGTTAATTAGACACACTCTGTAGAACATGAGGAGTTACAGTTTCCCCCGTCCCAGTATACATCTTTTCAAATCAAAGCACTAACATGCCAACCTCAAGCCAAGATTAGAGTCGCAAAATTATGAGAAGTGCTAGTTCTCAACTAGCAACTAACCAGTCCAATCATGTAAAGAGGAAAGAAGGTGCAAATTTAGAATCACTACAAGGATCATGGATCAAACAAGCAGTAGAAACCAATAAAAAAGAGTCAAAGACCATTAAGGCCTAGAGAATGATACACCAGTCACATGGAATATCAAAGTGCCTGGACTCCAAAACAAGCCAATGAGCAAGCGTGTCAAGGAAATTCTCTCTTTGATGTATGGGGTCACTATCCAAGGAGATACTGATTCAAGCAATTTAGAAGCTGTGACAAAAGTACCATAGTCTGTAACGAAGACATCATGTCTTGAGAACTCACGGTTTTTATCTTTGGCATCAAGGCTAATATGTTCTTCCTTCTTATGCCAATAATCTTGCGCGCATCTGTCCAGGGCAGGTAAATGGGTATACAACTCCTGTCATCCATAAAGACTAGTAATCGTTACTTCAATGAAAGAACCTGATATTCCAGACTATATAGTAGAATTGACTAACAGAATGTGGGTGCATTATACATTGTCTAATAAGGTGACAGCACTGCTTGTACTTTTGGTTTAAATGATGTACTGACAGGTAAACTGCTAGAGGTTCTGTTCTACATCAAATTCAAAATTCCGTTTCAGGATTATAAATTGATGATTAGATTTCATGGATAAGTGTTTAAAAGGAAACGAGGAGACTTGCACTACATTCTGCTACAACAGGGGACGATGAATAATTTTGGGACTGCTATATTCTATGAATCATTGTTACTAGATACAATAGTGTTACTTGCATTTCTTTGTTGTTGATTTTAGGCTTGTTCGGAAATTTCATTGGTGCGTTTTTACATGTTGGCAAGATTGTAGTTAACTAATGTCAGGTTTGGAAGATGTCCAGAGACATTTCTTTTTATTTCTGAATATGCGTTGTCCTCCTACTCTATATCTAGTGCTCTATTCCCTCTTCATCTTTGACCAACATAAAGTTTGAGGTTAATGATTAATGCCTCCTAAAGGTTACATATGCAGTGTACAAAACTTTGCAAATAGTTCCGTGTTAATAATTTTACTGGTATGGAAGATTGCAGGAGAGAGAATTATGCAAGTGGCCAGTCCCATTGATGAGACACCTCCTGCCTTATTACTGAGGTATTTCATTCATGAATGCTTAGATCCTAAAATTCTGTGCTGCCCTTCCTCACTGACAATATCTGAATGAACCCCGATTACTATCTCTACTAGCATCATTATATTATGCCTTGCAGAAGTGATATTTTGAGGACCTACTAAGCAGGGAGCTATCCACAGGTTCAAGAATAACCCTGATTGCAAAAGTCGTCACAACGAAGTTAGCAGCAAACTACTTCGCCAGAAAGCCTTCTTACTCAATCGAAATTTCTAGATGCATGGAAATGAATTTTGGCAGGTAGGGTGAGGTTACCTGTATTCAGACTATAAAGGCATAATTTTTTATTTTGATTACAGGTGGTAATTTCTGACTCGACACAAGAACAATACTCGAATATGATGTGAAGACAAGAAAAACTACTGAAAGTTCGTCTAAGGGTAAAAAGAGACAGCAATAAGATAGAAGCAATCTTTGAAAGATTAAAATAAGAGAGAAAGGAAAAAAATTGATCAAAATATCCTCCTAGAGGATGAAAAATCAAAACAAGGTAACTGCATCCACGGCTCTGGTAATCACACAGACAACACGGAAAGTGATTTCTCAGCAAGAAAACTTTGCCATAAGGTACAACTTAACTAAGACATGCCACAGACACTCTCTTAACCAAAGTAATAATGCATGGCTAGCTTAGAAATACTCACAGCTGTAGAGTGAACCAGGTTCAATAATGGCAGCATTACTGCCCAGGCATCTTTCCTTAACGGTGTCTTTGGCGCAGGTCTCGACTCCATGCTATGTGACAATAGAGAGGAAAGCAGGTGCAAGATCAGTAATTACCTGGAAAGCTGTGTTCAAGCAGAAGCAGTAATAAAACAACTCAATTGCTTACTGTTCGAAATAACGGCCCAGATTGTGGAATTGAGGATCTTTGCATAGATATCCTAACCGCACCACCTCTTTTGTAAAAGAGTGCAATTCTTTCCTGTCAGATTGCACAGCAAGATAGTAAAGTTCCAAGCATCCTAATTTAAAGGAGCACGTTTCCTCATGTATAGCTTAAAGAAAAAAAACAAATGGTAATCCTGTGTGGACTACCTCTGGTCAGCGGCAGCAATTCTCAATAGTTCATCCATATCCGTTGATACTAGGTATTGCACACCTTCTGATGGGAGCAATTCTTCTTTCAAGTATACAATGTTTTGATCCGAGAGGGATTGCATAAGATTGGCACCCTTTGTGATAGTATTTGCAACTTCAGAGGCCAAAACTGATATAATCTTCTCTTTTCTTGTACTTCTTAACATGAAACTGCTGTTCATGTTCAAATTTGTCATGCTACCACCAATTACATCCAGAACTTCAACTGCCCTGGCGAAAAGGCTGACTTCCTTGACCTATCCGACAAACAAACTACATTAAACAACAAAATTAACAGGTCCTTTGAATCTTTAAAAGGAACGCTATGCCATATCCGCATCATCATCACCTAAAGAGAATCCCCGGACTGTCCAGAACAAAGTCACAAGAAAATCTCGAGGGATGCCCTTAGGCCACTTTCTAAGCTACAAGAAGTGCATTGGATATGTAGAATGCTGATCTTCTGGCACTGTGCAATTTATGCTCTAACGTAAGAAATCACTCCATTTTACTCAACTTCAGTGCCGTGGAAATACAAGTTTCCTATATACAGCAGCTCTTAAGAAGTGCCTTCAGGCACCAGTCAACATGACAAACAAAGAACAAAATGCAGGTTCTCCCTCCACATTATACATAAAAAATTTGAGGACTTGTGCATTTGACACAATATCCTGTTTGCTACTCCACTTGCCTTTTCTCTTTTAGCTGGTAAAAGCTCGGTTATAGTAACAGCATACTGCAGATCCAACATTTATTACATTACGGGGAAAAAAGCAGGACAAACAGGTCATGAGGGTAAAGGCATGCAGAAGTATGATGACGACAAGAATTTTAGGCAGACCAATGATCCCCTCACTCCCCACATTGCCACTTGGCGACCACCCATTGGCCAACAAGTTTCCATTTCTGTTCATTACACATCGTTAAGATTAAATATCCCGCTACACAGAAAGAACACTAAAGTTTTAGGATCAAATTCACACTAAAATGACAAAAATTTCAGATTCGAGCACGATTTATGCAATTCGAGGTTCGATCTGTCGATGAATCGCCACTCGTAGGCTGATTTAATAATCCGGAACCATTGCAAAAGATGAAGGACATGTTAATCCTAACGACAGCTCTCGAAAAACCTCACCTGCTTCTCGGCAATTCGGTTCGCTTTCCCTGCCGAACCGTTCCTTCCCCTGGAATCCTCGTCCCGCGTCTCCTCCGCAGCTCCTCCATCCCTGCCGCGCGAAATCGAGTACGGAAACATGAGCTTCCAGAGAGAACAAAGCAGAGCTTCACGGACGACGATCAGAATGACCGAGAAGGGACCCGTACCTGGACCGATCCCGGAGCTGCAGCTCGTCGAACCTGCTGATGACGCCGGCGCAACCGCTGCAGACTAGAGGGGAAGCCACGGACGGCGAAGTGGTGAAGGCCGGGGGCGAGCCGGGGCGAGTGTTGAGGAAGTCGCCGTCGACGAGGAAAGTGAAGTTCCTGAGCACCATCGGGGGAAGGGAAGTGGAGAGGGATGAATCGGAGCGAGATGTGGAGACGGAGATCGTTCGTTCCTGACTTTAAAGATTCTGGAGTTTCGAAGCCGACCGAGCTGCTGTTGACTCTCTCTCGGTCGTCCTGGAAAACGGTCGCGAGCTTGTCTTTGGAGGGAAACTTCCCCCGTGGCCCCCCCCGCGTACAAAAGACAACTCACGTTAGATTCCGTGTGCCTTTCTTAAAGGGAAAATGACAAAAACTGTTGGGACTTTGGCCCGATGTACAACGTCGTTTCTGAACTTTTAATGTATTCAATGTCAATTTGATCCCGAAACTATATGAAAATATTCAATACTGTTCATAAACTTGAATTAATAGAAAAACAATATTGAACATTTTTATATGGTTCGGGGATTGAATTGAACATGTACCAAAAGTCCGGAGTCCATATTGAACAAATTAAAGAGTTAGGGAACACATTACACGTTGGATTAAAGTTCATAAATCATTTGTATCATTATCTCTACTTTAAAACTAGACCAAATTTATTAATGGCAGCATTACTGCCCATTTGTCTTTCTTAACGGCAACCCTGGTGCAAGTCTAACTCTATCCTTTGAGACAAAAAAAAATTTCGAAAAGTCATGCGAAATTTAAAAAAAAAAAATCGCTCGGAAAAGATGTTTGAACAATGAGATATTCTCTCATGAAGTTTCGCCCTTCCCAAACTTCTTGCAATCGGACAAAGAACTGAAGGCGCCTTGCAATAGCTTCGCTTCTCTTATTTTCTAGTAATTTCGTGTTTGCCAAGACGTATGAGAGTGGGAAATTTTTTATAGACACGTGACATCGGGTCGACACATCTGCTCGTGCGTGGATTGTGTCCAAGTCTTTCTTCTTCGTTTGGCTTTGCTTGAATCGTACCAAAGCGGTGTATGCTAAGTAACTCTGAGAAATGAATTGCGCCGGAAAATTCCCATTCCTTCCGACTTTTGCTGCTGAGAATAATCACTGAGTTTTCTTTAATATTCCATTTGGTTACTAAATTTATTTTTTTCAATTTAGTCCTTGAACTTTCAAGAATTCACCCTATAGAGTTGTTCTGTCAAAACACGGTAATAATTTTTGTTGACCTGTTGTTAGACTGGCCATGCCAGCGTCCACATGTCTTACAATATCTCCGACGTCATTGTTCGAATAATACCGCACTGGTGTATGCCCCAAGGCAACTTGAGGTTAAAGAGCGCAGAGATGATAAGCGTGTCGAAGTTTCCTGAAGCCGGTGCTAACATTATGATTGCGATGTATCCTAGCCAAACGGGATAATATTATTTGGAAGAAAAATCTGAATTGGATAAGTATTCGGAGGGAGGATGTGAACGTTACAGCCCGACTTTGATATCTTAAATTAGTGGAAAGTAAATGCCTCGAGATATCCTATCCTCTTTATGGTGGATGCTCTTATATGTGCTCAAGATTGGCTATGCTCCGAGCCACTCTCACTTTCGTTTGAGGAGGATTTAGAAGAACTCGAATTTTTTTAGTGGTGAAGAAATTTTGTTGTAGAATTCTATGCCCTTCTATCTTACAATGGATACTTCAGTTCTCGTTTTCATTGTGAATTTAATGCAGAGTTGTCAACTATAATCATGGAGCCGAACTTGATTTCAGTATCTCTTGATGATTGACGAAGTTGGAGATTGGTACTTGTTAAACCAAATTTTTTTTTATTGCGAATTTTCATTATGTATTAGACATTTAGTGATTGTTGTCTTCTTGATTTCCTACTTGCAGGTTGATCTTAGTTGAGCAAAGGATGACCGTTTGCTTTCGAGAAGAAAAAGGTTGACTGGTTGTTTTATTTTTTCCCCTTTCTTTGTGGTCTTTGCAAGAAAGTTTGTATTTTTTGGACAATGTCGAATAAATTTGCACTTAAAAATGTTGACAGACTGGACTAACTTTGGGATTCTTGTGGTATGTGATATCTTTTGAGACAAAGAAGTGGCTTTCTTATTTTAACTTTCTCCCTGGGTTTGTTCTGTTGAAAGCAAGAAAAATTTTACATGATCTTTGTTTTTCTAAGAATGCTATACAATTATGCTTAAATTTATCGAAGAACTGGACTTAAGTTTGGGACTGGTGCACGGAATTTTGACCAATGGGCAGTTTCCAGGGCCTCAAGTTGATGCTGTCACTAATGACAACTTGATTATTAGTGTCTACGACTACTTGAAGGAGCCATTCCTGCTTATTTGGTAATAAATCAGTTGCTTCTGTGGAAATCTGTCTTCTTCTTTTTTTGTTTCCTTTATGTATTTTGGTCATTTGTCTGTTTTGTTAGTTTAATCTGTAAATGCAGGAGAAAATAGTGTGAAATAGTATAATGTAATAGATCTTTTTTCTGTTTCTTCTTTTGCTGACTGAGAAAGACCATCAACTTCAAGAATGGCTAAGATTTTGTTTCCCTTTCTAGATTACTCCTTAGAAAGTACCATGGTGAGCTTGAAAGTACTATATGGCTAAGATGGTATTGCCTGATTGTGTCCTGGAGTTGTGGACCACGTGATCCTCCAAGTGGTCTCGGAAGAAGCAGAAGACATTTGCAATTCCTAATTAGGCAAATTCAGCAAGCAAGCAAAATCGAAGTTCTGGTCTCCGTGCTAAAAGTTGGATTGGCGTGCTCAGAAGAATCTCCTCAAGAAAGAATGAACCCGAGAGCGGTTGAAGAGGTTTTGCTTTCAATCCGAGATGAATATATCTTGGAACTGAAGTGCATGGAATGCGAAGAAGGATCTCAGCAGCCTCACCTTGTCCTAGCTCACAAGCTCTTCCTCCTCAAGCACCCCGATGTTCAGGACATGGACAAGGTCTGTCTCAAGGAGGAGGTCCTCGCTCCCATCAAGTCTGACAATGTTAACTCCACTCGATTTGCTCCAACATTTCTCTTCGTTTTATGCGATTTTCGACACTGGGTTTGATTTTGATTTGTTGCTTGTGATGGCTGGGACTAGATATATTCTCGCTGTATGAAGCCCTAGTGGACGAGTCGGTCCTGGAGATAGATCAGGGGCTTTTATGTTTTTTCCTATTAATGACAGAGGTTTGCAGGGTATGTAATTGCTAGCTTAGCGCTTGAGCTGGGAATGTATCTCTTCTCAATTAGATCTCTCGGATTATTTTTACTAGCCCTATTTGTAATAGTTATGCTAGAACCTTAGATAGTATATCATGTAAATGTCTTGCTTTTGCCACCCCAATCCCATAATCACCTGGACTTAGTGTTTTAAGAGAAAACACTGATAAATACATGCATGGTGCAGCTAGCTTCAATATTGGCATTGAAGGAACAGATAGGTTCACAAAATTTTGAATCAACAAAGCCCTCTACTTTCCTGAAGCTGTATGTCTGGATGAGTTTTTATCCGTTGCTTATATGTGAGCTCACTTAAAGATGATGGTATGCAATTTAATGGATTAGTCTGCGATTTTTGGAATCGTGAAAAACATTTTCGACTTCACCTCTGTTATTTTTGGTTCCAAAAAAAAAAGAGGAAGAAGGAAGAGCTAAAAACCCAAACCAGGTTTTTGGTTCGGGTTAATGCGGTTTGGGTCTCAGGTTGGGTTGGGACAAACACACTTTCATTTCGGGTTAGGTATTGCGGAAACTCAACATGAAAACTTGACACCCCTAACCAGCATAGCCTGTTGAAAAGTTGCTCCCTGGTAGTCTAATAGAAAACAAGAGTTGCATAAGCGAACATAAACGAATCGTCTAATCAAGAGAATTCTTTCTTCAGGGATACACTTTGATTAGGCCATGGTGTATAGTTTGATATGTTATGGGAATTCCAGTGCTCAATAGATCATCAAGAAATATTTCTAATGAAAAACGATGTTACGCGGCCGATAAATTCTGCTGCAAATGCAGTCTGCAGTGAACTAAAGTGGTGGCTAGCAAGCACCCTGAAGCTCCAAGTTCTTTAATGGGTCCCTTCTGTAAGGTTGTCAACCATTTCCTGCACAAATCCGTTTTGAGAGGAACCCAGACGTGGTCTTTTGTTTTGTCTTTGTTATTTCGTCATTGGAACCTACATGACAGGTTTAATGGTTGGGTCTGGCTTGCAGTCTTGGTATTACTTATGGGGCCTCTTCTGCTCACTTGATTTCATAGTATTGAAACTTAAGCTTACGACACCTGCTCCTTATTCCGAAATGTTCGAGAACTTTATCAACTTCCAATGCACGATAAAGATTTTAAGAGCAAAGAACTAAGGATAGCTGATAGTAACATTCACTTTGAATTTCGGTAGAACTAAAAGTTTGTGCTTTGCTTCCCAAAGCGGTATTCAAAGGGTAACAATCAGAAATGTCTTTGACTTATGACATCAAAGTCCCATGTACATTCCATTCTATGCTGTATCGTGGTTCTCGCTTCTCACGTTCTCACTAGGTATAACCACTTACTAGTCAAAAGATAGGAAAATACTTTTTAGAAGCTTGAAAGCCATCGTGTAGACTTTATGGCACATCACGCTTTGACCTGTGTATTTTGCATTTTGAGAGAACCAATGATAATCATGACCATCTTAGTCGAGGAAATCGGGGAATAATCTTTACGTTGTACTATGTATTTTTTCTAATTTCTTTCTGATTTTTTCTTGAATTTATTATCACTTCTGAGATAAAGTTGAATTTGGACATCATGATATTGTTAGTAGTTTTAATTGAAGCCATTGAACCGGTTTGTTCAACCTTTCCAGATTTGAAAGCTTTGGTGCAAATTGTTCATCCCACTGGAGTAGTGTTCTATGGCATTTCATTATCTCGACTCATTATTTCACCAACTCCAACTAATGTGCTTGTCCATGTTAGAGTTGAACCAAGGCTTGATAATGAGCAAAGGAGGTGCTCGGTTACTTGCAAATGTAGCATCTACAACAGACGATCCACAGAATCAAAGAATGGTAGCTGGTGCAATTGCCAACTTATGTGGAAATGGTGAGCTGAAGTTATCTTTGACACAAGTCCAATGCTTTAGTCTATCATGCGTTCCCTACTGCACCACATCGATAGAGAGTGTCATGCCAAAACATATTTCTTTTTTCGTAGTCACTCTCTGGTGCTATTTCTTGGCCCATTCTTTCAAATAAGAAAGTAAACTTTTTGGATAAAATAATTTTTAACATATATGCCAGAAACTAGCAAAGAGTTTTCAATGTGGTTTTCTGAAAGCTCCTACATAGTCTTTGTAATTCAATTATGTTGGCTTCTTCATCCTCTCTACTTTTTCTTCCTGTGGTGAGAAACCCAGTTATTTGGTCTAACCAGTACAACCTCGTTCGAGGGACATGAATTAAGGAGAACCAGGTTTTTAATCACACTTATATATGATTTCTATATATGATATAGGAACTACATTTTGCTTCTGCTTTCTCTGTGATGATGTTCATTTAATGGACTGATGCCCTGAAGTTTGCATGTGACAGAAAAATTGCATGTGATGTTGAAGGAAGATGGAGGCCTGGAAGCACTTCTAGGAATGGTTAGATCAGGGACTAATGATGTCACAGCACAGGATGCCAGAGGAATCGCTAATTTTGCCAAATGTGAATCCTGAGCGGTTATTCAAGGTTAGTCACAGCTTCTCTTCAGGATGTTACTTGATAACACTCGGTAAACCGATGGCCTTTTTTTCTTTCAAAATCCGAGTCGACTTCCTGTAGGACAACGGAAAGGCCGTTCTCTTCTCATGGAAGATGCTGCCCTTGAGTGGTTGCAGAGCATGAGACAGAAAACCTTACGTGTAATTGTGTAGAAGATGAGATGTCCAAGCAGTGAATTATTTACGGACCATAGGAAGCGAATTTAGACTAAAGGCATTACTAGATCAGGGAAGGAATCACATGCGATTGCAGCATAGATTACAAGAAGATTCGAAATTACCAAAATATCCTACAATCATCACTTGGACGGTTGACCTTGATCATACACTTTCCCCAAATCGGGCGACCTGCAAAAGCAAAGCACGGTAGACGGTCGTACATATATATTTGAATTCAACACGTTCACTTATGGCCAGCTGCAACATGGATATTCACATGGTCTTGCAAGACCATAGATACTCTTCTAATCATATCAGAAGACGAACAGGCAATGTGATATGTCGTTTTGGCATCCGCTACGTATCCGAATGATGTCTTACTGTCCACTATCTCACTTCAAGTTCCATTATACAAGGGTAGATGTACACCTATTATTGTACAAACTATAATTATCGCTTTTCCCATAGTGATTGCCCATAAATTTCAAGGGGCGGTAATGCCATCAATGACATCCAATGCAGTCATCATGTCTATGCTGGAGTCCATAGATAATGTTTTCAGAATCAGCACTGAAACCCCTGGACTTCCAATGGTGGGAGAATCAGAAATACCCGAGCTCAGTAGATGGTAATAGCATGAGTGGGGATTTTCTGTTTCCGATTCCAAAGTCTCAATTGTTCTCGGCATCATTTTCCTCTTACTTACATCCTTACGCGGACTGGGAGATGATAATCGAATCTCTTCACCACTTGGAGAAGAAACCGTCGAGTCCAGAGAACAAGTGACTCCATCATTCATTGCCCTTTTTTTGCAGACCAGTTGGTGGAGCCAGAACAACAGTTCAACAATGCAGGATTCAGTTTTCTCCTTATCAGCGTGATATAGAGTATTGAGTCTGATGAAGTCTCCCTTGCCAGCAGGTCTCTGGTTTACACTGGACCTGAAAAAGAATCAGTTAGTAATTATGATGATGTCGAAAGGCAACAAAACATCGAAGGTGAGCACATGAAGGTTTAAGCTTGAGCACCTGATATTTGCCCATACTCCCAGTCTCGCAAAGTCACAGTGTGCTCTAGTTCAAACAAAATAGGAAAGGAGTTATGCAGTATCTTTTAATCAGGCATCGAAATTTCGAAACGCAAATAGTATGAGAGGCAGAATTATTCGCATTTGAAGTCCAACCCAAGGGCTAAAACTGTTCGATGTAGGGTGACTACATGCATACAAACCCATGATAAACCCTACAAACAAGTGCTGTGAGCTGACACTCTAAATAATCAATGGTAAAGACACGTCATCTCTCTAGTATATCGCAATTTGTAGCAGCAGATGCAGTAGACAGGACACTAAAATGTTGACCACAAAGTGCCATACACCTGCAGATGTTTTAGCAACTTACTTGATTGTGTTAGCAGCCATTGGAGCAAGCCACGACAGTGTCTTCTCCATTTTAGCTTTAATAATTGGAATTGTAGGCTGCACAGACACCACACATGATGGATACCCCAGATGAGGAAATCACATTCTGCTTAAGAACTGGTCTGCTGCAATATACGCAACTATATACCGTAAAAATGATTACATAATACACATTAACTACCTCTTCCTGAATCTGAACTTGCCGCAGCCAAAAGCGCAGAGGTGACTTTATACCTGGTGGCAGGCTTTGGTACAATGCGTTCGTCATTGTTGGAGCTACAGAGCCTGAATGAGCCACCTAATTGGAACAGAAGTTATATGGGTCAAAAAGTCCACATTTAGCGCAAAAGGAAATCAGTAATGGATTCCTCAAGCACTTTTCTTGCCATTTCAGCAACATTTTCTTTGCAACAGTAGATAGTCTATTGTCATTCTAAAAAGCTATTTGGAGTTGATAAATAACAGTTTGCAAACATGGTAAAAAAATCTCATCTTCATGTCTAAGAACTTTTGATCATACACTTCGTATGATCGAGCCATTTGACCGATTTCCCAGTCACAGTACTCTTATGCTACCGAGAATACAGAAGTTTATTAGGAAGATAAATTAATAAAGCATACTAGATCATCTCAACAAGTTTCAGGAAGATAATCTGATTATTCTATAAAGGCTAAGTACCAGTATGTGATAGTTGTTAATCATATAACATTCCTTACTGTTTTAACAATGAACAAATTGAATAAGTATAAGAAGATATCACACACGGTAGACACTTATAGCAGAGGCCAAACTCCAAATAAAAAGAGGCTGATCGATTAAAAGCTCAAGAGATCACGTGGAAAATTATAATAGATGCCAATGCAGTGGTAGATGCATGCATAAAAATCAAATTAGATGTAACCAATGACAGATTCAACAGCTTCGAGTCACATTCCTGTTCTTGTCCATGTTGGTTTCAGGTTGAGAATTTAAGGATTCTGGCAAGAAAATGATGTCTTCTTCATATGTAGAGTTAATATGGGTGGGATCTAGTCAATACTTGAGAGAGCTTTGCATGGCTGGTCAGCCTGCTTGACATAGATCAATCTGGAAAGGTCTCTTGATGGCATATAACCCTGCAAAAGTTTCAAGTCACTTTCCTGTTCTTGTCTGTGTTGATTTCAGGTTGAGAACTTTAGGATCTTTGGTAAGAAAATGATATATTCTGTATATTTACTGTTAATTTATGAATGCATAAATTGGTCTTTGAATTTTCCAGATCGTTCCACCGCACAAAATATCTGGTCCAGAGTGAAAGGAAGCAGAGTGCAATTTTAGTGTTCTAGGAGTGATGGGTAATGAAGCATTCTACGGCTACTATAGATGTCCTTTTTCTGTGATGATTAGGTCAAGAACCCAAATTAGGAAGCACACAACTGAATGAAAATGGAAAGGAAAAAATAGACAAGGAAAAGAGAACTCGAGAAGAGTCAAAATCAGATAATGTATGAACTCACAATAGTGTCAATGAGAGTTATAATGCTTGCATAGTGCAATTCCAGGCCAGAAGATCCCAATTTTCTACCATTGCTGACAGAACCACTCTCTGCGCTTTCATGATCTGTATGGTTAAAGATGGAAAACGTTACACGGGTTTCAATGAAGAGACCAATATTCAATACATGGACTTCAATAAATAAATCGTCAACTGGAGGAGAAATAGATATGATGAATGATCAACCAAGAAAAATGTGGTGGATGCAAAGGGACCTGATGATATTATATTTGTAAGCACTCAATATGTATCAAAATAGTAGCAAATCTTCAGTCATTTCAGCGGCGCATCTTATTCTGATTTCATCTTGGTATTGTCCATTTTTCTTCTTTCCAGCAGAAGACAGATTTTAAATGAAAGAGAATCTTTGCATTTCAAAAAGCATACCAGCACTACCAAAGGCTTCAAGAACTTCCACGTGGAGGCAAATAATAATATCCGCAAGCTCCTCCACCACCTAAAAAGCAAATAGTAAGAATGTCTATCCGCAATTGTTTCTATCATATTAGATAAGAAGACAAAATGCTTATAAGCTAGGCATTCTAAGTCCTGAAACAATGTAATGGGTGAACTCTGCCAAATAGCTTGTCTCATGTTGTTAATGTACAAGTTTTCTCTAGTTCATTATTATCTTTAATCTAATTTCAGTCAAAAGGTCTGCAAGAAATATCATCCTCGAGACTGAGTTTAAATAACTAAAGCAGAATTTGTTAAGAGCATTTTGCATCAGATGCAGATTAAGTCTGCAAAAACCACAGTAGATATTGGACAGCAAAAAGGATTTTTTCGTGACTTTAGAAGATGACATTGTCTTGAAGTTTCTGTTCAAAGCTTATTGAGTATAATTTTGTGGTTATACAGAGATTTTTCGGGGAAAAACTCTTTCTTTTTCCCCCTAAATTTAAAAATTTTGTTATTCTACACAGTTGACAATATATTGACAAGAACAAAGTCTAGGGGAAAGCTGAAAGAGCAGAATTAGCTAAATACCTCTTCCAGAACCCTTGACCAAAGTGATTTCTTCTTCAAACTTCTCACCTGCCTCCTCTGACTCTTTATCTCTGACCTCAGAATCGAAATGCTTTGCTGAATATAATGGGCTATACAAAAAAAAGTTAATTAGACGCACTCTGTAGAACATGAAGATCTACAGTTCCTTTCGGGTCCCCATCCCAGTTTACGTCTTTTCAAATCAAAGCACTAACACACCGACTAGCAAGATTATAGGTGCAAAATTAGGAGAAGTGCTAGTTCTCAACTAACAACTAAAAATAGGCTAAACCGGTCCATGTACAGTGGAAACAAGGTGCAAATTTAGAATCACTACAAGTACGATGGATGAAACAAGCAGTAGAAACCAATAAAAAAGACTCAAGGAGATATTGATGCAAGCATTTAGAAGCTGTGACAAAAGTATCATAGTCTGTAGCCAAGACATAATGTCTCGAGAACTTACAGTTTTTATCTTTGGCATCAAGGCTGATATATTCTTTCCACTTATGCCTATAATCTTGTTCATGTCTCTCCAAGGCATATAACTTGTAATACAACTCCTGTCATTGATAAAAACCACAAATCATTACTTCAATGAAAGAACCTGATATTCCGGACACACTGGCGGTGAAAGAAAATAGTGGCTAGTCATTGAATATATTCATTACACTCTTTCTTTCAGTCATAACTAATCACGATTTTCATCCACCATCTATGTGGGTGCAATATACATTTTCCAATAAGGTGATAGCACTGCTTGTACTTTTGGTGTTAATGACGTAATGACTGGTAAAATTGTTAGAGGTTCCATTCTACGTCAAATTTAAAATCCTGTTTTACGGATATAAATTGAAGATCAGATCTCACAAGATAAGTGTTTAAAAGGAAATGAGGAAACTTGCGCTACATTCTGCTACAAACAGGAGAGGATGAATAATTTTGGGACCACCATATTTTTAATGAAACACCGTTACTAGATTGATCAGTAGAGTTACTTGCATCTCTTCACTCTTGATTTCAAGGTTTCTTTGGAAATTTCACTGGTGGGTGTCCAACATGTTGGCAAGTTTGTAGTTAACTAACTTCAGTTCGTGGGAGATGTCCAACGACACTCTTTTTATTTCTGAATATGCATTATCCTCACGTGTAGTGCTCTATTCCCTCTTCGAATTTGACCAACATAAAGTTCAAGGTTAATCATTAATGCCTCCTGCGGGTGACATATGCAGCATAGAAAACTATATAAATAGCTCCTGTGGTAATATTTTTACTGGTACGGAAGATTCAGGACAGAGAATTATTTGTGAGTCACATTGATGAGAGACCTCCTGACTTATTACTGAGATCTCTTATCCATGAAGGCTTAGATTTAAACTTCTGTGCTGCCCTTGCTCACCGGCAATATTTTGAATGAACCTGAGTAATATCTCTCCTAGCATCATTGTATAATGCCTTGCAGAAGTGTATTTTGAGGACCTAATAAGTAGGGAGCTATCTGCATGGTTCAAGAACTACCCTAATTGCAGAAGTTGTCCCAACGAAGTTCCCAAACTACTCCGCCAGAAGGCCTTCTTACTAAATCGAAATTTCCAGATGCATGGAAATGAATTTTGGCAGCTAGGGTGAGGTTACCTGAATTTAGACTTTCAAGGCGTGATTTTTCATTTTGACTTACAGGTCGTAATTTCTGACACGATACAAGAACAATACTTGAATATGATGTGAAGACAAGAAAATTTCCTGTAAGTTCATCTAAAGGGTAATAAAAAACAGCAACAAGAGAGAAACAATCTTTGAAAGATTGAAATAAGAAAGAGAAACAAAAAAATTGATCGAAATATCCTCCTAGAGGACGAAAAATCAAAACAAGGTGATTCCCTCCACCTTACGTGGCTCTGCATAATCACCCAAACAACGCGGAAAGTGATTTTTGAGCAAGAATACTCTGCCATGAGGTACAAATCAACTCCAGATTTGCAATATAAAGAAATTAACTAAGACATGCCAGAGCCACTCTCTTAACCCGAGAAATAATGCATGGCTAGCTTAGAAGTACTCACAGCTGTAGAGTGAACCAGATTCATTAATGGCAGCATTACTGCCCATGATTCTTCCCTTAATGGTAACCCTGGCGGAAGTTCATTCTCCAGACTATGAGACAATTGAAAGAGAAGCAGGTCCATGATCAGTAATTACCTGGAAAGCTGTGTTCAAGCAGAAGCAGTAATAAAACAACCCAATTGCTTACCTACTATAGATATAACTGTCCAACTTGTGGAATTGAGGATCTTTGCATAGATTTCCTAACCGCACCACCTCTTCTGTAAAAGATTGCAATTCTTTCCTGCCAGATTGCACAACAAGATAGTGAAGTTCCAAGCATCCTAACTTAAAGTAGCACGTTTCGTCACGTGTAGCTTAAAGAATAACAAATGGTTATCCTGTGTGGACTACCTCTGGTCAGCTGCAGCAATTCTCAATAATTCATCCATATCCGTTGATACTAGGTATTGCACACCTTCTGATGGGAGCAATTCTTCTTTCAAATGTACAATGTTTTGTTCTGAGAGGGATTGCATAAGGTTCTCACCCTTTGTGATAGTATTTGCAACTTCAAAGGCCAAAACTGATATAATCTTCTCTTTTCTTGTACTTCTTAACATGAAACTGCTGTTCCTGTTCAAAGTTGTCATGCTACCACCAATTACATCCAGAACTTCAACTGCCCTGGCGAAAAGGCCGACTTCCTTGACCTATCCGACAAGCAAACTACATTAAACAACAGAATTTACAGGTCCTTTGAATCTTTAAAAGGAACGCTATGCCATATCCTGGCATCATCATTACCTAAAGAGAATCCCCGGACTGTCCACAACAAAATCACAACAAAATCTCGAGGGATGCCCTTAGGCCACTTTCTAAGCTAGAAGATGTGCATTGGAAATGTAGAATGCTGATCTTAACTTCAGTGTTGTGGAAATACAAGTTTCCTATATACAGCAGCTCTTAAGAAGTGCCTTCAGGCACCAGTCAACAAGACAAACAAAAAACAAAATACGGGTTGTCTTTCCCTCCCCACATTGCCACTTGGCGACCACCCATTGGCCAATAAGTTTCCATTTCTGCTCATTGCACATCTTTAAGATTAAATATCCCACTACACAGAAAGAACACTAAAGTTCTGCAATTCGAGGTTCGATCTGACGATGAATCGCCACTCGGAGGCTGATTTAATAATCCGGAACAATTGCAAAAGATGAAGGACATGTTAAAATGCGACCAAAAAAATAAAAAAGGACATCTTAATCCCGACGACGGCTCTCGAAAAACCTCACCTGCTTCTCGGCATTTCGGTTCGCTTTCTCTGCCGAACCGTTCCTTCCCCTGGAATCCTCGTCCCGCGTCTCCTCCGCAGCTCCTCCGTCCCTGCCGCGCGAAATCGAGGACGGAAACGTGAGCTTCCAAAGAGAACAAAAGCAGAGCTTCACGGACGACGATCAGAATGACCGAGAAGGGACCCGTACCTGGACCGATCCCGGAGCTGCAGCTCGTCGAACCTGCTGATGACGCCGGCACAACCGCTGCAGACTAGAGGGGAAGCCACGGACGGCGAAGTGGTGAAGGCCGGGGGCGAGCCGGGGCGAGTGTTGAGGAAGTCGCCGTCGATGAGGAAAGTGAAGTACTTGAACACCATCGGGGGGGGGGAAGTGGAGAGGGATGAATCGGAGCGAGATGTGGAGATGGAGATCGTTCGTTCCTGACTTTAAAGATTCTGAAGTTTCGAAGTCGGCCGAGCTGCTGTTGACTCTCTCTCGGTCGCCCTGGAAAACGGTCGCGAGCTTGTCTTGGAGGGAAACTTCCCCCATGGACCCCCCACATACAAAAGACAATTCACGTTAGATGTTAGATACTTTTAAAACCGGACCAGATTCCATGCGTCTTTCTTAACGGTATCCCGGAAAGTCCCGCAACCAAAAAAAAAAAAAACAAAGTCCTTCGAAAATTCGCATCAATACTTTAAAGGGAAAACGACATAAATGATTGGTCCAGGAGTTTTGGCTTAATACGCAACGTGATCTCTGGACTTTTAATTTGTTCGGTGTGGTTCATAAACTTTAGCCCAATGTGTGATGTCGTCCCTAGACTTTTAATGTGTTCAATGTGGATCTTGAATTTTTGGTACATGTTCAATTTGATCCCCAAACTATATGAAAATGTATTATGTTTTCTATGAACTTGAATTAATAGAAAGACAATATTGATCATTTTCATGTGGTTCGGGGACTGAATTGAACGTGTACCAAAAGTACGAGGACCATATTGAATAAATTAAAGGTTTAGGAATCACATTGCATATTCGGCCAAAGTTCAGAAATAATTTGTGTCATTATCTCTACTTTAAAACTAGACCAAATACATTAATGGCAACATCACTGCCTATTTGTCTTTCTTAACGGCAACCCTAGTGCAAGTAAGTCTCACTCTATCCTTTGAGACGAAGATTTTTTTCGAAAAGTTATGCGGAATTAAAACAAAAAAAGATTGCCTGGAAAAGATGTCTGAGCGGCGAGATATTCTCTCCTCAAGTTTCGCCTTCTCAAACTTCTTGCAACCGGACATATAATCGAAGGCGCGTTGCAATAGCTTGGCTTCCCTTGTTCTCTAGTAATTTCGTGTCTGCTAGGATGCACGAGAGTGGGAAATTTATTACAGGCGCGTGACATCGGGTCAACCCATCTGCTCGTGCATGGATTATATCCAAGTCTCTTTCTTCTTCGTTTGGCTTTTTGCTTGAATCGTACGGAAGTGGTGTATGCTAAGTAACTCTGAGAAATGAATTGCGCCGGAAAATTCCCATTCCTTCCAACTTTTGTTGCTGAGAATAATCACGATTGTCCAACTTTTCTTTAATATTTCACGTGGCTACTAAATTTATTTTTATTCAATTCAGTCCTTGAACTTTCAAGAATCCGTCCTATAGAGTCGTTCTTTGAGTGTTGATGTTGGACACCGGATTCTATGAATGTGTACCGGGGATGCTTGCTAGCTTTTCTACTTATTTGTCAAGAGTATGTAGAGGACTACAACTTACATGTTACATACTTCTTTTTCATTTCATGGTAGAAGAAAATTGTTCTGGCACATTATATTTGATTGTAATAATAATTTGTAGGTTCTAAATGTCATAGATAGAAGGATTGCTAGATGTCTTCCACGAGTGATCTTATTGTCATAAATAGAGATAGAAGGACAAGATATGTTGTGTGGAGCACTTTCAAAGGATTTCTTGTGCAGACAAAAGCCAAGAAAAGGCTAAATGTTTATATCGTGGGGGTAAGAATTGGATGTTCTAGAAGTCAGGGAACCAGTTCAATGCATTATCATTTAGCTAGATGTAACAAACACCAATATGTGAACATGGAGAAAAGGCAAAAAAGTACTTCGGCTCAACCTTTTGAGATCGTAGTTCATCCGGTCTATGGAAATTTGATCAAAATGCTAGTAAAAAAGAACTAGCGATTATGTTTATTTTTGGTGAATTACCTTTCAAGTTTGTAGAACATGATGGATTTTGGCGATTTGTGAATAGAATCTAGCCAAAGTTCTTAATCTCGTCACGCGACATGTTAAGGCATGACTAGTATGAGTTATACGTGGAAGAAAGAAGCAAATTGAAGAAATATTTTTCCGATACATCTCCTAGAGTTTTTTTGACAACCGACACATGGACCTCTTGTCAGAATTTGAGTTATATGTGTCTCACTGCTCATTTTGTAGATGCTGATTGGAAGTAGCAGACAAATATCTTGAATTTTTGTCAAATCCTAGGTCATTCTGCCGAGATTATAGGAAAAACAGTTGAGAAATGCTTAACTTGTTAGGGGATCCAAAGAGTTTTTTCTATCACCATGGATAATGCGATCTCAAATGACTTGGGAATTCAATTCTTGAAAAAGAGACTTAACTCTTGGTACTCTCTAGTATTAGGAGGTGAGTTACTCCACGTAAGGTGTTGTGCTCATGTATTGAGTTTGATTGTAAAAGAGGGGTTGAAAGACATAAATGATTCCATTGTTAGATTACGTTCGGCTGTGCGTTATGTGAGGTCTTCCCTGCAAGGCTGAAACGATTTATGAGTTGCATTGAGCTAGAGATTATTAAGTCCAAAAGTCTTGTATGTTTGGATGTAGACACTTGTTAGAACTCGACATACATGATGTTGGAAGCGGCTTTAAAGTTTCAAAAAGCTTTTGGCTTATTGGAAATTCAAAATAGCAAATTTGTTAAAGAGATCTCCAAGGAGAAATTGCCTACTAGTGATGATTGGGAGTTTGCGCATCAATTTCTTCAATTCCTAAAGTTGTTCTTTGATACGACTTTAAAAGTTTCGGGTTCTTCTTGGTCACTAGTAATGATATGGTGAAGCATGTCTATGGGGTTTATACAATGATTGACAGATATTGTGAGAATCAGCACAAAAGTTTGTAGGGAATAGCCAAGAGAATGAAGACCAAATTCAATAAGTATTTTCGACATAAGTGTAGAAATGTGAAATGGTTGATTAATAATGTTTACAAAAGTAAGCAGACGGAAACTTTACAAGATAAAGTAACAACATCTTTACTGTCAAACAATACCGCACTGGTGTACGCCCCCGAGGCAACATGAGATTAAAGAGCACAGGGATGATAAGCGCATCAAAATTTCCTGAAGTTGATGTTGACATTGTGACTGCAAAGTAGGGGTGCGCAAAATAGATCACCCAGACTGGCTGATCCGATCTGGGAGTGTCGGTCCAGTTCCTAGTTCCTAAAAGTGGAACCGGTGTCCGAACGATTCGGTTCTCGGTTTCAAGGGAAAACCAAACCGGACCGGACCGGACCAACTACATGTACTTTTTATATTTTTTTATTTATGTGAACTAAACCTTAAGTGAATTTCATTGATAAAAATTAGTAAAATGTGAATTAAACCCTAAGTGAACTTTAATGACAAAAATTAGCAAAATGTAAACTAAACCCTAAGTAGCAGGTTCAATTGGACCGGACCGGTCCCCAGTTCTCGATTCCACAATGAACCGGACCGGACCGAAAATCGATCACCCCTACTACAAAGTATCTTAGATAAACGAGCCAATAATGTTTGAAAGAAAAATCTGAATCGGATAAGTATTTGGAGGAAGGATGTGAACGCTATAGCCTCGACTTCGATATCAAGTGAATGTTTTGAGATACCCTATCCTCTCTTCTGTTGCTCGAGATATTTTGGTTGTGCTCGTCTCGACTGTAGCATCAAAGGCCGCATTTAGCATAGTAGGTCAAGTGCTTAACGTGTTTTGTAGTTCCTTGACTCCAAGTATGGTGGAGGCTCTTATATGTGCTCAAGATTGGCTACGATCTGACCACTTTCACTTTCGATTGAAGACAACTTAGTAGAACTCGAAAATTTTGTTGTAGAATATTTATGCCCTTCTATGTTACAGTAGATACCTTAGTTTTCATTTTCATTGTGAATTTGATGCAGAGTTGTCAACTACTACCGCGAGCCGAACTGAATTTCGGTTTCTCTTGATAATTGACGAAGTTGGAGATTGATACTTGTTAAACCAATTTTTTTATTGGGAAAAGACTACCAAAAACCCCCAAACTATGCCATCTGTGACACATTTACCCTGAATTTTTTTTTGTGACACCAAAAACCCCAAACTATGCTATTTGTGACACATTTACCCCAATGTACTTTAGTCCATGGGTATTTTCGTCTTTTTTGCTTTTTCTTTTTTTTTTTCCTTTCTGACGAGGGTCGCCCTCACCCCGACGCCGGCGAGGGCCACCCTCGCCGGAAAGGAAAAAAAAAAGAAAAAGCAAAAAAGACAAAAAAAATGCTCATGGACTAAAGTACATTAGGGTAAATGTGTCACAAATAGCATAGTTTGGGGTTTTTTGTGTCACAAAAAAAAGTTTAGGGTAAATATGTCACAGGTGACATAGTTTAGGGTTTTTGGTGGTCTTTTTCCTTTTTTATTTTTATTGCGAATTTACTTCTTCATAATGTATTAGACATTTAGTGATTGCTGCCTTCTTGATTTCCTACTTGCAGGTTGACCTTAGTTGAGCATACGATAACTGTTTGCTTTTGAGAAGAAAAGGTTGACTGGTTGCTTTATTTTTTGGGAGAAGACCACCAAAAATTTCAAATTATACCACTTGTGACACATTTGCCTTGAACTTTTTTTTGTAACACCAAAAACCTCAAACTATGCTATTTGTGACACATTTACCCTAATGTACTTTAGTCCATGGGCATTTTCGTCTTTTTTGCTTTTTCTTTTTTTTTTTTCCTTTTTTTTTCCTTTCCAGCGAGGGTGGCCCTCGTCGGCGTCGGGCGAGGGCGGCCCTCGCCAGATCTGGCGAGAGCGACCCTCACCGGTGTCGGGTAAGCCTCGCTAGCGTCGGGCAAGGGTGGCCCTCGCCGAATCCAGCGAGGGCCGCCCTCGCTAGCGTCGGGCAAGGGTCGCCTCGCCTGGGCGAGCAAGGGCGGCCTTCGCCAGACTCAGGCGAGGGCGACCCTCACCCGACGCCAGCGAGGGTCGCCCTCGCCAGATCCGGCGAGGGCCGCCCTCGCCTGAGTCGGCGAGGGTCGCCTCGCCTGGGCGAGCGAGGGCCACCCTCGCCCGACTTAAGCGAGGGCTGCCCTCGCTCACCCAGGCGAGGCAACCCTCGCCGAAAAGGAAAAAAAAAGAAAAAGCAAAAAAGACAAAAATGCCCATGGACTAAAGTACATTGGGGTAAATGTGTCACAAATAGCATAGTTTTGGGTTTTTTGTGTCACAAAAAAAAGTTCAGGGTAAATGTGTCACAGGTGGCAT